TAACGGCACAAAGGGGTTAATCTGATCAATTCAGAGTTTAGTGGCCATACAAGTGTTAGCCTGTTTGCTGTCACAAAATATATTTTTTTTTTACCCCCAGAGAGGTAGCATTTGTTTTTTTCGAAACTGTGAATTTTTAGGGATTCATCAGGGAATTACAAACTAAGGGCTTAATAGCTAACTAGAAAATATTTAAATTAAACATTTTTTTTCCAGCTCACCCATTTTAATATTAAAGGAACACTATAGTGTCATGAATACAAAAAAATACATTGATATAAAAAAAATCTAAATATTAGAAAGTAAAAAAGGTTTTAAAAAAAAAATATCATTCAAAAAAGGTATCCAAAAATATAAAATCAATGCCCATCTATAGCTGTCACTGACATTTTCCAACATTTCTAGTGACATTTAGTTTTATATTGGAAGTAAAAAAGTCACTTAACCGACAGCGATAATAAAAAAAACCAATAAAAACTTTCATGAATCAATTCAAGAAGGCGTCTCTTTAAAATAGTTTTTATTAGGTGAGTAGATATTGATACATACATTAGTAATTTACATGAGGATTCCGGTGCTGTTTGTTGAGACTTTAACCCCTTAAGGACCAAACTTCTGGAATAAAAGGGAATCATGACATGTCACACATGTCATGTGTCCTTAAGGGGTTAAATACCCTTGTGATGGCTATCAGGGTTAAGTTAATCGCCCTGTGAGGGATTTGTGAAGGTTCTGACCTCTATACCATCCTGGAAAGGAGTTATTCTTTTAGAATCTCATACAGCACTTTTCAGCACTGGTTGGCAGCAATACTTTCTACTTGTTATACTGTGTGGCTATCCTTGGCACTGCAGATGTTTGTGAACTACTATTCCCAAAATGCTCAGTCAGCCTCAGGGACGGACTGATATCTCACAGGCAAAGACTTTTGGTTGCAATGGCAAAGATGCATTTTGCCTTGCCCAATTCATATTGCTCACTCATTGGTAAAATATTTATTTTTTATCAATGGGTAGCTACTGATAAGCTACTGATAGACTTAGAGTGTCAGCTGACGCTCTAAGCCAATCAACAGCGCCAATGCCCAGCGGCATTCTGCGCTTTCTGAAACTGAGATCCAGAAGCGAGATACAGCCTGGGGGGGGTTTTGCAAATCAGTTTAAATGAAGTTGTTATGGTGACCAGAGTGCCCCTTTAAGGTGATATATGTGCTTAAAGGCTGCTTGTGGGATTGTGTGTATACTGGAGACTGTTTCTAATATAATGTGTGTGTGTGTGTGTGTGTGTGTGTAAAGGGGTCTGTTTGTTTTCCTGTGTGTGGGCTGTAGAATGTGTATGTGAATGAATGTCTAAGGACTGTAGAGATTGTGTGTGTTTAGGGCCTTTACAGTGTGTATGTTGGTTTGAGCTGTAGTGTTTGTGTATTGGGGCTTTATGGTGTATATGTTTACCGGGACCCAACTAAGTTGTCAAGCACTTCTTAAATAACTTACTTTGGAAGGAGGCCAGGGCTGTCCTGCACCCTTGGGGTGCTTGGAGTGTTTCTTTGTGAAGCTGAATGAATGTGGGGTGACAGAATGTGCGTTGTGTGATGTGTTTGGCTGTGTATGGGTAGCACTGAGGAAACTGTGTATGGGTAGCTGAGCGTGCAGGTTTGGGAGGCGGTGTCTGTTTTAGCCTCCTACAACTTACAATAAATTAAATAACAATTAAAGTTTTTGCCCCCTTTGTGCTTTTTCATATTCCCTGGTGGTCCAGTGAGTCAATGTACGGTCCCTGGTCCCTGGTCCCTGGAGTAAGGGCTACCAGGTAGAGCCTCTGGTAGCCCTTACTCCTCTCACTAGTGCGGCTCTATCTCTCCCCCCACGTGCGCCCCTCTGACCATGCACATGGAGGTAGTGAAGTGTAATCGATTCCTCCAAGCACAGGGGCTGCACTGACTGCTGGAAGCTGCCGAGCACTACCCAGGTTTAAAGAACCATGCATGGTTACCATCATTAAAAGAATTAGCCCAGTGGCTGGCCCACACGACGGCTCCCAAAACTGGCCGCATCACAGGGACCTCGCCGTCTGCCTCCCTGGCATTGCCCGAGTGCTTGAATGGTCAGTCCGCCCCTGGTCAGTGTTAAAGAAACATTCCAATTCCTAAAGGTCTTTGGCACTTTTGTAACCAGACAGCCAGATGGATGCTCTTCCTGACCAATTAGTTCCCCAGCACAAAGCAGAAGACTATACATCTCATAGAGAAGCACAGTTTTTTCTCTCTCTCTATGAGAAGCACTGCAGGCTCAGAGGAGCTCTGCGCATTCACCCTGCATCCCAATGATATGGAAAGCATCCTATTGGCTGGGAATTAATAATACTGGTGAGCTCCCTGGCGAGTGGATGGAACTGCCAAGAGGGACCATCTCACCGCTGGAATACAGGTAAGTTAGCTCTTTTTTTTCACAAGTATCAGGGATAAAACGGACCCTGGAGAATACTCAAGATTCCAGCATTATCAATAAATGTGTTTATTAGCAATGCTGGTGTGTTTGTCTACAGCCATCTTTTCGGTAGAGTATTTACAATGAATAGTAAATATCGGACATTACATTTTGCCACCATGCCTGTACTCGTGCTGGGAACCTTAATACACTCCTGAAGTGTGTGAATTATCGCTGGATATGCACTTCTTCAGAATAAAGTACATTACAAATTGTTTGCTAATAATTTACTTGTCTCTAAGGCTGGAGGTTTATAGGGGTATCCTTTCTGCTATTGATAACAGTGAAAACGAACAGCTATGGTATGTTGAAAAAAATCCACAAAACTTCTATTTACATTGATAATGCACCATAATGAAACAGGTTCAGAAATACAGCTTTGGAAGATTTGAAAAATGGTGAACGATGAGCGCGTTCTGCTTTGTAGCTAATGTCTGTTGCGAATCACAGTTTCCAGTCGCTGAGAGTCTTTGACTAAATGGAGATTTTAAGCAATCACAGTTGTGTAATGGTGTTTTGTTCCTGAGGATTTTTTTCTCCTGTGAATGGACAAAGCAGTCTTGTCCAGACGTTGGGCATAATGCGTATTCTGGAGCAAATCTTCTGCTGTGGAATCCTTCAAACATCTACTAGCATGAAGTAGCTTGAGACTAGAAGGATCATCTGATGCAGAATTGCTAAAGAAAAACACAAAGGTTGTTAATTTATTTCCCATTTAAATGTATTTTTAAAGGGACACGATGGTCAACAAAACAACTTTAGCTTAATGAAACAGTTTTGGTGTATAGATCATACTTCTGAAATCTCAATGTTCAATTCTCTGCTATTTAGGAGTTAAATCATATTTGTTTCTGTTTATGCTGCCCTAGCCACTCTTCCCCTTGCTGTGACTGACACAACCTGCATAAAAACAAAATGGTTTTATTTTCTATCGGATATAACTTAATTTAAATGTTTTTATTTCCTGCTCTGTAAATTGAACTTTAATCACACACACAGGAGGCTCCTGCAGGGACAAGCAAGCTATTAACAGGAGGAAGTAAGAAATTCTAGATTAAACAAAATCTGCAATAGAGGAAGTGTCAACATTTGATGACTCTTTACAGGAAGTGTTTAGGAAGGCTGTGTAAGTCTCATGCAGGGAGGTGTGACTAGGGCTGCATAAACAAAGTGATTTAATTCCTAAATGGCAGAAAATTGAGCAGTGAGACTGCAGGGCTATGATCTGTACACCAAAACTGCTTCATTAAGCTAAACTTGTTTTGGTGACTATACTGTCCCTTTAACTAAAGGGTTACGTTCACATTCCAGGGGCCCCAAATGCGCAGCTTATATAGATAACATATACACTACGTCATTGAAACGCAGGCAGAAACTAGCAGAGGGAACAGAATGGGGCCCAGACAGAACATGACAAAACTATTATATCGTATCCCTTCTGCATTATGGAAATTCTGGGCATATGAGGCATACCTGACCTCCACAGATATGCATAGATCACTTAATGATTTGACATAGGTCAGACTTGGGGCTGATTGAAAATTTTGGTTCAGCCAAATGCATTTGAACCAAAAAAAATGTTGTTTTGTTCGAACAGAATGTCAGCCATTAGTTCGGTTTGACCTAAATTTAGTCAATAGTTTACCTTCAGGATTTCCTTTTGGATGAATGGAATGCCGAGATCACTTCAATATCTTTTAATGATTTAGATAAGTAGATAGCTCCCTGATTTGGTATTCTTATGTGGGGTTGATATTTTATAGGGATACTAAGTTAGAGACCTGTTTAGTAGAGATCACACTAATTTTATATCCTTAAATAAAACATAAGGATACTCATTCAGGGAGCTATCTACTAAGCAGCGGAACCAAAATTAAGAAAAGCCATCTTCTTAATTTTGATCTTTCAGCTCTTTAGTATATAGATTCCTAAAAAAAGTAGTACTATTATGTGGGATTGCCAAATGTAAGGGTACCAAATTATGGAGCTATATAGTAGATAGCACCCTATATTTAATTATACTGAATAATGGAGCTATCTACTAGGCACAACAGTTCCCTATAATTTGGTACCCTGAATTAAAGGATCACTATAGGGCCAGGAACACAAACATGTATTCCTGACCCTATTGAGTTAAAACCACCAACTAGCCCCCCTGGGGCCCTCATGCCTCCATAAATATAGAAAAATCTTACTGTATTCAAGCCTGAAGCTGTAACTCTGCATGATGTTTGCCTCAGAAAAACAAGCAGTCTGCTGACACCATCAGAAGTGGTAGTCTGAGCCAATCATAGGTAATCCCACATAAGGGTACCAATTTAATGAATTTACAAGAATGAACTAATAAATGAATCGCTCATGAAGGAATTTCAAGCATTGCCAATTTGTTAATGAATTTTCATTCTTCAGTGCTGTTCCGAGATTCATAATTTGGACAAACAGCCGAATGAGCCAATTTTCGGCCAAGCTGCAATTTGTCTGAAAATTTAATGCCGAAGTCTACAAAAAATTATTTGAAAGGAAGCCACAACTAAAACGATATGTTAAACTTGCTTGTATTGTAAATTACCTGTTAGACTGTCAGAGTTCCAGGAAGCAGAACCTAGTTGAGAAATTAGAACAATATCTTAAAGGTTTATTCACTAAACAGATAATTGAGTGAACTGAAAACTGAATTGCAAAATGTAGACAAAAAGTACTGATATGATACAATTTCAAATCATCTGTAGTCACAGTTTTGATATTTTAGTTGAAATGTCGCAATTTAGTGTAAATCCCCTACAATTCTAATTTCACTGAATACAAATTATACAAGAAAATTGCTTTTGTTTGCATATTTAAAGTTTGTTTAAGGCAGCTTCATTTTGGACAAAAGTATTTCCCGTTTTATTGTACATATCACACGCCTTACTTAACTGTGAATTAAATCTGTGTTTGCTCCCCCTCTGCTAAAAACTGCTTTTTCATTTTTTTATTATTATGATGTTATTATTATTATTTATATAGCGCCAACAAATTCCGCAGCACTTTACAGTGGGTGGACGAACAAACATGTAGTTGTAACCAAACAAGTTGGATGCACAGGAACAGAGGGGTTGAGGGCCCTGCTCAATGAGCTTACATGCGAGAGGGATTGGGGTAAAGTGACAAAAAAGTATTAGACTAATGACAGTTGCAAGAGAGGAATCAGTCGGGAGCTATTAACAGTTTAATTGATACGCATTTATGAAGAAGTGGGTTTTTAATAATTTTTTGAAGGAGTGGAGACTGGGTGAGCATCTAACGGAGGAGGGAAGCGAGTTCCACAGGAAAAGTTTGGGAAAAGTTCTCAAAGTCCTTACTTTGTCAAGAAGCAACTCATATGCCATGGAGCTAATTGTTGAAAAAAAAAAAGATGTTTATACCTAACATTTGCAGTTCTCTTGTCGATTCTATAAAATCATGATTTTGTGAATGAATCTCAATGTATTACTATGTCTATATTGCTCATTATTACACCATTATGGTCTGATAATGCAAGAATGTGTTTTTAAATAATTAAATAAATGATTAAGAATAATAAATGATTAAATAAGTTAATTACAAGCAATGTGTAGGGAAAACCTTGCTTTTTAAAATTTGTATAGGATCTATTTTAATTTAAAACTATTTTACAATTATTACAGATTGCTTAGAGTTAATAAGTAAGATAAAACTATTTTGGGGTTATTCACTAAAGTTAGAATTGATGGAGATTTTAAGTGAATTCAGAGTGAATATCCATTTCAAGGCTGTGGCAAACCCTGTCCTATGGTACCCATACTTTTCCCTGAAAGAGCTTTCACTACACCTGGTTCGGTGCCGTCCCCTCTTCCGAACGTTTATTAATGAAAGCGCCTCTCTCCGGCAGTCATTCAGCTACAAACTCCCAAAAGGTCCCCAGCGATATTTGGCTGCAAACTCTCTGGAACTCTAACACTGCCACTAGACCTCACGGCTACTCGTCACCATGACTCACTGTTTTACCTCACTTGCCGACATGCCAGGAGAGCGCTATTCGGAGGGAAGGTACTACTGACTAAATGGAACAATCGCTCCCTGAGATCTGCATATTTGACTGGCATAATCCCTAATTACGCTGAAACTGTTTTGGACTTGGTTCTTATGTGTGGCCAGGTCAAAACTTTACCTCGGTGGCGATTTGGCAATTTGTTATGGTTCCGAGCGCTTCTTTGCCAACATGGACGCTTGGACCAGGCCTCTCCGAGGATGTATAATATGTGGGTTTTCTTTGTACTTTTACTTTGTTTTGGGGTGTTTTATGTTAACAGGCAGCAACTCAATTATCTCCCGACACAGAATCACCTGGGTGGGCACTGTATGTATTGAATAGAGACTCCATGCTGGGGGTCTGTGCATAAAAGGCTGCATTCGGCTCAATAAAATCATTTGTACTCCCAGAACTATGTGTTGTCTAGTTACTGAAGGGGGATAGAGCGATTAACTAAAGAGCGCTTCTCCCAGCTTAGTCCAGGTATTGGAGCTCTGCTACAAAGGCCAAAATAGCCAAACTGGAAAAACTCTGCAAGTCCGCTATGCTTCCAGTACGGCTTTTTTAGTCTTAAATTTGAAATTCACCTTGAAATCAATTTGAATTCCCAGCAATTCTCACTTTAGTGGCTGACCCCAAAGTAGCTTTATGCAAATAACCCAGTTTTCTTTCTGGATTGGGAAAAAATATTGATGTCACCAAAATTATATGAGGTTTGGGCACTTACTTCGAATCGAAAATTCTGCTACAAGAATGCCACCTGTTTGCTCATTTTGCTGCTTCCGTTTTCCACACATCTAAAATGGGCAAAACAAAACAAAAAATATTCTTTCAGAAGAAACGAACTTACAGGAAGGAGGAGCAGTCTGTCCTTGACTTGTTACTGTCAATGTTTATTATTATTGCCATTTATATAGCGCCAACAGATAGTGCTTTACAATATTATACTTGTTTATTACCTCATTTAGTTTTTCTGTATTTGTTTTCGGTTTTTAAAAACATCCATTGTAATACAATTTATGGTAACTGCACTTCTAGAACAATTCAAGGCAATGAACATATACAATAAAACCACTGATCATCTCAAATTAAATAGCAAGAACCTCGACTTACTACAGGGCAGGAAAACTTTTCACTGTCACACAGGTAGGTCTCACAGTGCAGCCAAACCCTGGAGAGCTTGGGAACATTCTGAAAACGGAAGGCATTGAACTGGAATGTTGCTCGGCTATTTTTTCCATTTTCATGGACTGTCACTGAGTCATCAGATGAACATCTATATAGACAACACATGAGATGGGTGCCAATGAGTACTTATGTAATTAGAGGAATATCTAGATAGACAACACATAAGATGGGTGCCAAGTGAGTACTAATGTCATTAGATGAATATCTAGATACACAACACATGAGATGGGTGCCAAGTGAGTACTAATGTCATTAGATGAACATCTAGATAGACAACACATGAGATCGGTGCCAAGTGAGTACTTATTGCATTAGAGGAATATCTAGATAGACAACACATGAGATGGGTACAAAGTAAGTACTAATGTCATTAGATGAACATTTAGATTGACAACACATGAGATGGGTACAAAGTGAGTACTAATGTCATCAGATGAACATCTAGATAGGCAACACATGAGATGGGTACCAAGTAATTACTAATGTCATGAGATGAACATCTAGATATACAACACATGAGATGGGTGCCAAGGGAGTATTAATGTCATGAGATGAACATCTTGATAGGCAACACATGAGATGGGTTCCAAGTGATTACTAATGTCATCAGATGAACATCTAGATAGGCAACACATGAGATGGGCAGTATTGAGTACCAGTGTCACCAGACGGACCTGATAGGGAACTAATTATATTAGTAATGCCAGTACATTAATGTTAATTGGACATCTGGATATGGACCTAATAAGATGATTAGTGACAATGTTATCATACACTATAGCGATGAGGATCACATGACAGTATCCTATAAGGGTTATAGAGGATGGGAGGACCATAAACATAAAAATAAGGTCAAACTTTTGCAGGATTGCTAGTGTTTAGGATTAATTCGGGAGTACACTATACAGGTAAGTAAAAAAAGAAAAGAAAAGAAGTGGTATGTGGAAACCTAGGATTCTCTGTAAAAAAATAAAATTTGTAAAAATAATGTAATCATTTAAGAATATTTAAGATTTGATTGTTTTGTAGAATGGAATCTAGATTTATTCTCAGCGCTATGTCTTACCCTTTACTGATCAGCTGCCACTGAATGTGGTATGCGTAATCGGGAGAGGGGGTAGCCCAGCAGTAGTTTAAAACCACCTTAAACCTAAAAAACAAGCAAACCAAAAACCAGCATGAAAAAGGATTTTTCTATCACAGATGATAATAATTATATTTAAACCTAACCCTAAAATATGTTCTCAGTGAGTATTTTCATTTATGGAGAAAACACATAAATATGTTCCATCTGACTTCACAAGCACATCTCAACTGTGTGGAGAATGTCATGAACCAGTGCTTCCCAACGCATTTTGAACCATTTCACACTTCAATAACAGAATAATTTCCAAACTCTTATTTTTCCATTATCAACATTGTAATATCACATTTAGTGATGTCCCGAACGGTTCGCCGAACGGTTCGCCGCGGACTCCAGTCAGCAGACACATTCCAGCCAATCAGCAGCAGACCCTCCCTTCCAGACCCTCCCACCTCCTGGACAGCTCACTAAGAATGCAGCTTCAAAATGGATGCGAACCGTTCAGGACATCACTAATCACATTCACTTGAAGCCTTATGTCTAGCCAATTTGACTTATTAGATCTAATTAATTGCCAGATGTGAATCAAATTTAAATGCTGACACTTTGAAAACACTTAAAGATACCAGTGACTCAGAGCATACTGGTTGAAAGTCAAAACCCTAAACCAGGCAAAGGCAACCTTCAGCACTCCAGATGTTGTGAACTATGTCATCCCTGATGCTTTGCCAGCATTATGTATGTAAGAGCAGGGCTGTGGTCAGTTACATCTGGGGTACTGAAGATTGCCTACCTATGCCCTTAACTGCGAATGGCCGGTGAATTACAAATTTTATTCCGACATAGCTGAGCCGAAAGCATAGCTGATTTGGAATATTTGAGGATTCTCTCGTCAATTCATGCTGGTCTCATTAGTACATTGAGCTATCACCTGCCATCAATATACTTGTTTGAACCTTGTCAGATTTGGGTTATCCACATCAATAATACCATCATCAATAGCACAGTTAGCTTTTTGACCCAGAACTATAGATTAATCTTCCCCGGAATCACACACAAGGTTCTGAGTGCAGCTCTAACCATTGCACCGGGAGCTTCTCTTCCTTACAAGAGCTATTCAAAATAATAGGTGAGTAGACACACAATCATATATATATATATTACACTTGCTACACTGTATAAGAATAGGCACCAAACATCATTCTGATACATCGCAGATTTTACACTGTATATGAATATGCACACAATCATTATTTTGATACTTTGTGTTACACTATATAAAGTCAATACAGTTTACATGTTAAGGATAGATCAGATGAAGAAGTAGTTTGCTATCTTACTGGTGTTCCACCATACAAGGATAGCTCGATAGACATATAGCTTATACAGTACCTGGTACTTAGTCCTTTTGCTTCAACTCCTGCAAACACATCCGACCCGATGTCTGATGTTTCCACTACAAATGGAGCTTCTTTCTGGGCGGAAAACTTGGCATTCTTTCCCGGAAACAAAGGAATCAGACATGAAAAATACAAATAAAAGCCACATTTTGGAATTAGAAGATCATCGGCCTATGGAAACCGGTAAGGTATAAATTAAATTCTCTCCAGTGGTATTTGAGTTTTAAAGATATATCTATATATATATATTAGTTATACATTTCACGTTGTAATTTTTTGTATACTTTACTTTGTCTTATTATGCATAGTAATTCCAAAATGTTCTTCTAAAGTACAGAAATTAGCCAGGAACATGACTAATTTTGCATTCCGATTCATACTAATTTTGGGCATAACTCCGAATCGCAATGTGACCAAATCATGAAACTAATGGAACAGAGAATTGTTTGTTAAATAATTCTTAGTTCTATATATGGCAAAAAAAAAATAGATGACTTATGGGAAAAAAAGATTATTGATAGTTAGGGGACAGCAACTAAATGGTGATTTTATTTACAGATCAAGTGAGACGTGAGCAATAAAGGGAGGTGCAATAAAGAAAAATCTATATTTGATAAATATTAATTTTATTTATTGTTGTTCCCTTCTTTTGGCTTCTCTCTTAATTTGTAAACCAAATGGCAGGAAATGCTTCTATTAGTGTACTGCAAAATATATACATAATATTTATATTTTAGTTTGTCTGAATGGTTTACCAGAACATATTGCACAAACAAAATTTGTTTAAGCCAAAACACCACATGGATGAACCCCGCAATGCCCAAAACTATTTTTTTTTTATTATTTTTTGGATAAACCAATTTTGTTTTAAGTCTAGTTTCCAAGGCAACTGCTTCACTTTCAGGAAATTGGTTTTGTCATAGTGGTTGTTATACAAAACCACAATTTCAACCCTTTCATTTTGTCTGTTGTGGTTGTGGCTTTGCCCTCTGTGTTTGATTCCTAAATCAAATCTCTCAGCTGTTGTTTAGTACTTATAATGTATTCAAAATGGAAATGAGATATATCACATGGTTTATAAATGTAGAAATGTATTCTACAAATCGGTCACATGAAATACAAATAAACAGATGCGTAAATAGGCTTGCCGAGTTTTCGCTGCAGGGTAAATGGATGCCACAGAATCGCAAAGGCTTTGAATGCAAATAGTAAGATACATAAATAGATCTACTAAGGAGGAAAAAAAATAAGATCCTGAGCTGTATCTTAGTTATAAAAAAACACTGTTATTTCTTTCTTTTAATTCAGTTTTATTGAAACTTGCTCACTGATGGAAAAGGAGTTAAAGGAGTTAAATGAGTTATCTCAACTTTAACCATTAAGCACCATGGTACAAATTAAACATCTGAACTCAAAACATTCCCATAATTCTTGGGGGATAAAAATCTGATTTAAAATAGATTTTTGGGGATTTAGTTTTGACAACTGAAATCAGAGTTCTAATAGTTTATTTGGGTATTTTACATCAAGTATTATTTCAGTATCACGTTTTGGAGATGTTACCTACTGACGACAACAACAAGGTAAGAAAAAGGCAAAATATCTGGGTTTGATTATCACGTCCAAAAGACTATAATAGTTCTTTGAGCAGAAAATATATTCTTGCCCAGTACAACCAAGTTAATATACAGGTCATTTTAAATTGATGTTCTAATACAACAGAGCCAAAGCATTTTGTTAATGTGTAGAATACATTTGGCTGTAGATGAACAAGACAACTGCCTACACGGGCCTACGTTAAAAAGGCACTATTTTTGTGAATGTTTCAAATATTCTTTTTTTGGTGTGGACTGTTAATTGTTTTTTTTTTGTTCCCCAGATCCAAGATGGAAAGTTTTGAATTAGCCAATTAGCAATAATTTGGTTGGGGTCTGCTGTGTGTGAGAAGAATATTCATGGAAGACTCACAGAGTAGAAATTGAGAGAAAGCTGACTTTCAAATGATCCTGAACTTCCATTCTTCACGTGGACTGTGGCTACTCTGGAAGAAGGGAAAAAATATGTAAGACTAAAACGTACATGAGTAAAATGCGTCGGGGTGACTCAGGCGGGAAATACAGTTGAAGAGGGTGAGCCCCAGATTTACCTTTGGTCGAAGGCAGCATGGCTAACAAGATAGTTTGACTGGTATGTGCAGGTGAAGGAATAGTTGACTGGTTGACTCTTAACGATCAAAGTGCTGTCATTTGAGACTATCGAGTTGTAAAAATGATAGATTGGGTTTTTGAACTGGAAGAAGAAAAACGTCACCAATATCATCCTAGTGATTAAATATAAAATGGTCACATCTTTTTAGAGGGAACCAGAGTATTACATTTTTCTAGATATATATAAACAGAAACGGAAGACTTCATTCAGAGTATCAACAGTATTCTGTATCAACAACAATGTACTTCAAAGCGACATGTGCATTTATAGATATAATAACATTTAGTTAGGAATTAATTGGGTACAATAGTACCAACAACATTATTACAGATAAGTAAATAAAATATATAATAATATTTCCCACCCGTTCCCTTTACCCTCTTTGTTTTCAATATTTTGTTATATTACTGTAAATGTTATTATAAAAAAAAAAAGGAAATGAATATAAGGATGAAAAAATTAAAATTAGTAGATTCTAATAAATGGATAAAATATGATGCATGCCATACTAAACATCTGTCTAAATGGTCAAAAATATGATTAGTTTGAAGCTTATATATATATATATATATAATAACAAGTACTGAATATTGTAATTATATGATATGTGACTGACGATAGAGACCTGGAAAACTCAACAATACATCACCAGGCCATTAATAATTTTGTTCTGATATTCCCCTGTTAAGTTTAATGCACAAATACTGCTTAGGAATAGCATTAACAAATCATGAAAAAAAAAAACCACACACACTTACATCAGACTGAGTTCCACAGTATGACTTGTTCCTTGGAGATAAATCGGGGATGGTGAATTGATAGTAGCCAGACTCTATGATCCCGTTGTAACAAATACCTCCCATAGCAAGCTGATTAATTTCCCATCCATACGGACATTCAGGAATTTTTGCCACAATGGATTTGGGATAGCAATGCACAATTATCACATCTGGTGGTTAAATATCGTAAAAATAGAAATAAATAAATAATACGGTATATTAGCTACAGATCAGTTGGTGAATTACTTGTAATTATTTCACAATTATGTATCTGATTATAATATATATTTTACATTGATTATATATAGTGAGAACAAAGAAGTGAGTGTGACAGAGTGATAGAATATTTGCCGAGAGTGTGACAGTGCAAAAGAAAGTGAGTATGATATAGTGATAGATTTTTTAATAGAGTGTGACAGTGCGAGAGAAAGTGAGAGAAATTCACAGAATTAGGGGGGTTAATGTGATACGGTGAGCGTGTCAGAGCAAGGAGAGGTGAGTATTATAGGATTAGGAGGGTTTATATGATTGTCACAGGGTGAAGGGGGTGACAGTGTGTGGGGGGCTGACAGTGTGTAAGGGGATAAAAATGAAAATCCAGCGCACTCCCTTATCCACTAAACAGCAACTTTTGGTGCTAACAGATTTTGTCAGGTTCTTAAAAACACCTAGTCTAGGCAAATCTAGTGTGTAAGGGGGTGACAGTGTGTGGGGGGGTGAACAGTGTGTAAGAGAGTGACAGTGTGTGTGGGGTGACAGTGTGTGTGGGGTGACAGTGTGTAAGGGGGTGAACAGTGTGTAAGGGGATGAAGAGTGTGTAAGGGGGTGATAGTGTGTAAGGGGTTAACTTTGTGTAAGGGGGGACAGTATAAGGGGGTGACAGTGTGTGTGTGTTGACAGTGTGTAGGGGGTGAACAGTGTGTAAGGGGTGATAGTGTGTACGGGGGTGACAGTGTGTGGGGGGTGAACAGTGTTTAAGGGGGTGACAGTGTGTAAGGGGGTGACAGTGTGTAGGGAGGCTGTGTATTAGTGACCAGTCTCCCCAAACTGAAATGCCTTTTTTTAAAGATAGTAATCAATTGGTTCTTCAGAGATGTGCAGTCTGCAGCTCTGCCGGGTGTAGAGTTGAAGACCATGTAATAGAAGTCTCGTGAGCTACGGCACATGAAGTACCAGAGCATTGTTGTGATAGCCCCTGTGAGACATCTACCACATGGTCTGCAACTCTGCACCCGGGGGTGCTGCAGATTGGATGCTGTGCTGGGTTCTCTCTCTCCCAGGGCAGTCTGAGTGGAGGGGCTTAGCACCTTACAGCACACAGGGCAAGCTGCTGGGCCCCTTCCAGTGTCAGGCCCACGGTAAGGGACCAAGGACCAGATGGATCAGATGGATCAGCCTTAGGCGGCCACCTAACTCACTTAATTAGGGAGCCACCTCTGCAGGAGGGGCACTGGCAGATTAAAGGAACACTCCAGACACAATAACCACTACAGCCCTCTGTAGTGGTTATGATATCAGGTGTGCACTGGTGGCCTTCCAGAGTATGTAGATGTGGAGGTACAGACCTTGGTGTGGAAGTACAGACAGATTTCTTCCCCTCAGCATGATTTGCTGGATAGGGACTATGGCCATCGTGACCACAGCGTAACGTTTTCAGGGGGTGGATGGGGGTGGGGGGATGCATTTATCCTGGTGCCCTCCAGGGATCTGCCCTTTAGTTATTTAAGTAGTAAGCAGGCAAGTACAAAAATGAAGACTTTGTTGCAACAAAAAATACTTTTTAAAAACATTAAAGGACCACTATATTGCCAGGAAAACATACTCGTTTTCCTGGCACTATAGTGCCCTGAGGGTGCCCCCACCCTCAGGGTCCCCCTCCCGCCGGGCTGGATGGCGAGGAAAGGGTTAAATCTTACCTTTTTTCCAGCGCCGGGCGGGGTGCTTTCCTCCTCCTCTCCGCCTCCTTTCCTCCTCTTCGGCTGAATGAGCATGCGCGGCAGGAGCTGCGCACGCATTCAGCCAGTCTCATAGGAAAGCATTCATAATGCTTTCCTATGGACGCTGGCGTCTTCTCACTGTGATTTTCACAGTGAGAAGCACACAAACGCCTCTAGCGGCTGTCAATGAGACAGCCACTAGAGGCTTTAGAGGCTGGATTAACCCATTTATAAACATAGCATTTTCTCTGAAACTGCTATGTTTATAAAAAAAGGGTTAATTCTAGAGGGACCTGGCACCCAGAGCACTTCATTAAGCTGAAGTGGTCTGGGTGCCTAGAGTGGTCCTTTAAACTCTTCAATTCATTTCAATACACAAGATAGGCATTTTTGTAAGATAAGTCTCATTAACATTAAACACGTGATGGATATTATTGAATAAAATTGCTGAAATGAGAAGACATAATGTCGTTTATAAATATGAGAAAATACCATTGATGGATTTTTATCCAATATCCTAAACTTGTGAGTGACATTGTGCCAGCTTTAAAAATCTGAAATAGCTGAGAAATATTCCAAGCTAGAAGAACCTACCTGCTTTATTGGGAGTGCACTTTGCTGCACAGGTTGTGATGACAATAGCTAACAGATGAATGGCAAAAAGCATCATGTCTTAACGTTTCATGAAATAAATATTTGATAATAATGAGATGAACACCAGTCAGTAGAACCAGCTGTCGGGAATCTCAAAATAGAAGACTTTGAAGGTCCAGTGTTTCCATCGTGTGTCCTGTAAGAAAAGCAAAATTTACTAACTGAGAAAATTCTGAGCCAAGGTTATTCACTCAAGTGTGATTTGTCAGGGATTTAATGTGAATTTTCAATTTAAAGTGTTTCTCCAACAATTTTAAGACATTTTTTTATAATTAAAATGCTCTATAAGTCATTATTGGCTAGCTCCCTCCCTTTCAAACCTGCAAAAAATTGGCGGTGCTCTCCATGCCTTTTGTGATGTCACCAAGGGCCTCGAGCATTCCATTCATTTTATTTGATCGGACCGTTTTGCTAACTCAGAGAACATGCGCATGCTTTGAGGCACCAAGGGGAGAGAAACATAGAAACATAGAATGTGACGGCAGATAAGAACCATTCGGGCCATCTAGTCTGCCAAATTTTCTAAATACTTTCATTAGTCCCTGGCCTTATCTTATAGTTAGGATAGCCTTATGCCTATCCCACGCATGCTTAAACTCCTTCACTGTGTTAACCTCTACCACTTCAGCTGGAAGGCTATTCCATGCATCCACTACCCTCTCAGTAAAGTAATACTTCCTTATATTATTTTTAAACCTTTGTCCCTCCTAATTTTTGCTGATTTTGAATTTTTTTTTCTAATTTGGTTCTTTTGTCCCAAAATGTATGAGTTCTCTGTTAGTTTACAAAACCTCCCTTTTATCATGAATACACCCCTAAATGCTTTTTTTCATTCATCTACTCATAATGCAGATTTTTCAGTTCCATGTTATTAGTTGTCAATTCCATCCAACCCGGACTGTGGTGATTGGCTGAGAGTTTTGGTCTCCTAAATGGCTTCGTAAAAATCTGGTGAATACCGAAACATCAGCATTGGAACCAATGAAAATTTGGAGTGTACAGTCTGTTGATAGTAATCACAGCCACACTTAGCGAGCATACCGTTTTTTTTGCAGTTTACTACAGGCAAAATTATATATTACAAAAAAACAGATTGGTTTACTATTACTCGATACATGGATACCACTTTCAACGAGAAGAGAAAAAAAAGAGAGCCAATGTCGGTCTACAGCATTTCGGTATTCCGCCTATCTCAAACGTTCGATAAACCCATCGACCAAGTATCCATATCCTGCCTATGCCTATAGCTTTGACACATTAAAATAATGTTTTTTTAAATCATTTACTGTTCACTAATATGGGAATCTCCCCACACCTATTTGCTTGATGTAGTACTTCTATATTTTCCACAATAAACTTTGGCGAAAAAAATTATATATTATGACTCACGAGTCTGTTAGTAGAATGGTATAACTAACTATTTTAAGATATGTTTTGTTTTCCTTATCTTTTTTGAACAGTGAAACATATCATCTTAAAAGCTACACTACATATTATGGGACATTTATCCACCGTAGCCCCTATGAGCAAGGCTAGGGTAAGTCCAATGACTGTTTTTTGAATAAGCACTACACTGATATGTAGTTATTACATTGTATATCAAATTATTTATTTGTATGTTCTAAATGGGGGTTCTGATCCGCTTGGTTTTAATCTACAACTGAATCCCCATAAGCCCCTATGACCCCCCCCTATGGCACTAGGGAACTGCTCACAACAAGTGGCTTATTGTATCGTCTTTGTTTTTCCAGTGCAATGAAAAGTGTTTAATAAAATAGCATTTTATTTTTTATAATATTTATTACATTAACATTTAATAACAGTTCCCTGAACTCGTTTTTGAATTGAATAATGTGTCGACATGCTAGTAAAAAAATAAACATTTAAGACCAACTGTTTGACATTGATACAGTTAAATCAATGTCTAATCTTCGCATTGCAAGATTTATTCACTAAACAGTGAGTTATTGTGAACTGGTTATCAGCAAATATGTCATGTGTAAGGTATGAAAAGTTAAATGTAGAATGAAATCCACAGCTTTTTTATCCAGCAACTGCATGATCTGTCCTTTGCACTTGGCAGTCATAATACAGAAAGTATACAGAGAAGATGAGAAATTAAACAATGTTTCTAATCCTCCTAATGTTTGCTGATTTTGAATTTTTCTTTTCTAATTTGGTTCTTTTGTCCCAAAATGTGCAAGTTCTCTATCAGTTTACAAAACCTCCCTTTTATCATGAATACACTCCTAAGTGCTTTGTTTGGTTCATCAAAGCAAAATGTATTCTAACGAGTTCCAGTAAAATAGTTAATTACATGAATTATCTACAGCCGAGAACAGCTGTACTGGAGCTGTCTCACTTTATCTACTGCTAGGTGTGCTAACAATGCAGTCAGTAATTTTCTTACAAGCTGCATAGTTAATTTCACAGAAAATTCAGGATAACCTAAGGCATTACTCAGTAAACTCAGCTATATTTTCAGTTTAAAAATGTGAGATTCCCTTGTCAATTCTCTACATTTTCTGTCTGAATGAACTCCTAAAAGTCAGAATGTAGACAATTTGTTGTAATATGAATGATTATCATCACTCAGCAATCCATTGAATGCTGATCATTTATTATTATTATTATTAATATTATTTGTTTTGCTTTATAATAAAAGGAAGCTGTACCTGTTGAATTCAGTGCCTCAAAGACCTGGCATTCATGCTTCTTCTGAAGCCAAAGGCATGTCCTTCAATGTCTCTTCAGCAAACCATCTGACTACTAGACCTGCCTTTCTGCCTTTTATAGGCTGCCACATAAATAGGATTCCTTATTCTCCTGATACACTCAATTTGCCAAATAAGAAGTATCCATTGTTGGAAACACAGCCCACACTAAACAAATGCAATGGGTCAACGCTCACGTCTGCACCAGGATATTGACATGATTGTCTTGCGTTGTAAGGGATGGTGGCAGGTGGAATTGTCTAATTATTCTTACATTGTGTTTAATAGCAACAGTTAGCATTCTCTTACAAACACTCGCTTCATATTTTAAACCTCCTTTAACCAATCAAGAACTCTAATGCTTACAATAAAGCATGGACATCGGAAACCAACAGACAATCGAGTACCCATTGACTTAATTGTAGACTTAGCCATAAAAACGTTTTTGGAAGACTGGGGCAACAGATTTGCCTAAGAGTTTCTTTTTAAGTAAGCATTTACCAAAATTAGCCAAATGGATTCAAACCTCAACTAACATGTCAGGTCTGGTTTGATGACCATCAAAACTCTAATTTTGTGTCTTTATTTAACCTCGTCTTTTTAGCTTTAGTGAATAAACCTTACTTGTTTATGTAAAAACAAACAAATAACTACTCACACACAAAACAATATAGAAAAGCGCATTTTATATTTTGACAGACATCCTTCAAGATGTTAATTTTACAATATTTCAGACTAAGAGCTCGTAATCTACGGTTTCCAAGTAATACCGAGGTCTGGAGAAAAAAGATATGGAACACTCATGTAAAAAACGCAACCCCAGTATAACTGCACCCCAAGTGATTTTGTGATTGTCGGTTCACAAAGGGGTGAACACATTGGAGCAAAGTTAAACCAAGAAGCATTTCATGTCTGGATTTGCCAATATCAGCCATATAACCAGCACTTTACTCCGTTTACTACTTTCACAATACATGGTCTTAAATTCTTGTGTGTGGACCCAGAAACTCTTTGCCTGCTCTAATTTCTGAATCAATATAGCAAAAACTGGCTTGTTTACTGCCAGTATTGGTTATATTGATTCAAAAATTACACTGGTTGCCATTGACTCTTAAACACAAGAATTCTTCTTGCACTATTTTGCTGCATTTTGCACAATTCATGTGATCGGAGGTGGACACACAAGCCTTCAAGCTCAAATTTTGATGACAATGGTTCTTCAAAACCCACCCTTTTTTTTGTTGGTTTATTGATAACTCGTGATGTGCAGCAAGAACAAATGGGAGAACCAGTGATAGACTGGGTTGGGTATTCGGGACCATGCAACACTTTATTTGGGCAATGAATGGTGTTAGATATCACAAAATGGACTGGGTCATGGATTATGTGTTACTCTGAAATAAGGAAACCAAACAGAAATCAATTATAAAAAACAACAACTATATTTTGGTATTTTTAATACTATGTATAAAGACGTCCTAGTAGATTTTATAAAGTACTATAAATAGTTAACTTTGAAATAGAGGTATATTTGGCACATCAGGCCAAGACTGCGATTGTGCAAATTTTATGTACAGTGAAAAAAATCTGCCCCACAAATATTTAGGTTGATCTGTCAACTTATGTTTTCCTTACTCACCTTATTTACTTGAAAATAAAGATTGTTTAAAAGAAAATCCATCTGTCATGATTTTAAGGTCTCCCCATCTTACATCAGGGGTGCCCAATAGGTAAATACCCAGATATTGCTGAACTACAACTTCCATGAAGCTTTGCATGGCCATGCATGTCTTTAGAATGACAAAGCATCATGAACGTTGTAGTTTTAAAACATCCTGGGATCTACCTTTTGGACACCCCTGTCTTACCCCCTTTACGAACACTTTTGTCAGCTATCAATCAAGTTACGCAGCCAGGGAAGAGGAATAACAGATGATAATGCAACCAGGAATTGAAAGTCATTGCTTAAAATAGTGTATGAAAATATTTAATATTATTTCATAATTAAAAACATACATCATTTTTGATAGAGAAATGAATTTATGAAAAAAAATAATGGAATTGCTTTAAATAAAATATATTTCCTTCTATTTTATTTTGGCAAAGCGGTGTAACTGGGCTTACACAATTATTTAGGGACCTGTTGAGAACAGAATCTAGAACTGGATTACCCAACTGTTTTGTAGCAGGCAGTCCGCTAGTCATCTTTTTTAAAGAACCACTATAGGCATTCACACCACTTCAGTTTAATGAAGTGGTCTGGGTGCCAGGTCCCTCTAGGGTTAACCCTGTCTGCTGTAAACATAGCAGTTTCAGAGAAACTGCTATGTTTACTTTAGGGTTAATCCAGCCTCTAGTGGCTCTCTCATTGACAGCCACTAGAGGCGCTTCCACGCTTCTCACTATGATTTTCACAGTCAGAAGACGCCAGCGTCCATAGGAAAGCATTGAGAATGCTTTCCTATGGACTGGCTGAATGCGCGCGCGGCTCTTGCCACGCATGCGCATTCAGCCGATGACATCATAAGAGGGAGTAGAGTCCCCAGCACCGAGTGAGCCCGGCGCTGGAGAAAGGTGATTGTTTACCCCCTTCCTCCTCCTTCAGCCCGGCGGGAGTGGGACCCTGAGGGTGGGGGCACCCTCAGGGCACTATAGTGCCAGGAAAACGAGGTCCTTTAATTTATGTATTAAAACCAGGAAATGGGGGGGTTGGTATTTAAAAGAAGGATATGTTTTATAAGTCAGTTAACATCAATCCAACATACCTACATCACTGGCAACATCTTCTGTATAAGTAGAGCATTTAACTCACATTACAGGATTTACTTTACACTAATTTCCTTTTAACCAATCAATGCAAAAGTTGAATATGTCCAGTGGTGCTTTAAACGGTCCTATCATTCAGTAGAATGCACAATTGGAAGCAAATTAGAGATCTTGGTCAAAAGAGCTCTAATAATCTTCAAACCCTTCAGAGTAAAAAAAATAAATAAATGTAATCTAATGTAGCCAACTCATTGAAAAAAAAATAAACCCTGTATTATTTGCAGTTGAAACGTGAGATCTCTTTTCAGACCAAATGCATAAAACAGCCAGGTTAATCTAGGAAATGGCAGCATTACCAGAGACTGGAGTTTTATTTGAGTCAGTCTATAGATGTTGGCATTTCCATGAGAAAGGCAGGCAGGCCGAATGCACTTAGTTCAAACTGTGCTCGATAGCAGAGCTGATAAAATTGTAGGGAATGAGGGCCGTGTCTTTTACATGGGGTAAGCGGAGGAATTATATATTTAAATAAATTAGGAGAAGCCATTATGTAACCGAGAAAAGCTGCCAAGTTTTATTATACCTTGCGGCTCAGCATTTAACCAACTGAATGCCAATAGTTGAGGCACTGAGCTGAACAGATACTTAAAGGGTTAACGATGTTGCGGAAATATCTTAAAATGCAAAGTAAGAACATCGATAGTTCTTAATGAGGATTTGTACGTTTGTGCTCGGAGGGGGTGGGGAACGGGCCCCAGCAGACCACAGGTAAGAAGTCAAACGTTTCTAAAATTATTTGATTACTTATAAAGTGATGGGGGGGCCTGGGACACTCATGGAACTCTAATCATTACAGCTGTAGTGGTTGTGGTGCTTTGACGGATCCTTTGAGAATATCATAATGGAAGCCCCATGATCACCTAAACTGAGTGAATTGGTGATTATTACCCGAATTTGTTTTTGACGGGAAACCAAAATAGCTAACATTAAAACTCTAATATAAAATGAGAGATGTTTGCAGAACACACATAATACCCAGATACATAATGTAATTTATTTTACCCAGTTCATTAAAAGGTTTCATTAAAATAATTTATAGAAGACATATGTTTCATGAAAAGAGTGATGGAAAGGAATCTCCCACATCCATCTACGAAAGAATAAAGCAATGAAGCACTAAACAGTGATTTATGGTTAAATCTGCAACTCCCTCCAATCACTCAAAAACTCCCACCATACACATTTTTACCCTTGATGCCAATCTAAAGGGCATATTCACTAAACTATGATTTGCTTTGAGTGGATAATCAACTTGCTAAATGCTGGGCAATGTAGCAGTGTCTGAGAGTTTTTCCAACTTTCTCATTCTGATTATACTTTGGTAAGCTAACTGCAAGCCTACCACAGCTCTTTATTTAGTCTGTAGACCTTCTATGGGCCACTTTCTTTAAAATGACACTCAAATGCCCAAATACAAACAAAACATATCTAAATCACAGTTTAGTAGATATATATCTCCAATCTAAAATGCATGCACTGAAGCATTTTTCATTGGGGGTTTGTCTAAAAAAAAGCTGGCAAAAGCTGCCTTTGCAAGTCCTCCCCTTCTAGCCCCACCCAGACTATCTGTGACTGTCCAATCACAGTTTTCCTAGTGCAGCTCAATGAGAAGTCTTTTCTATGCATTTTCTGTAGACAATTGCTGCCTTTTGAGTTTAGCTCCACTGAGCCAAACAAACCAGGACGTATCAGGACCAGTTATCTGAGTGACAGTCAGGGGTGCAATCAAGTTCATTTATAAAAATGTCAACTTATATTGAAATCTGCAGTCTTTGTAAAATTAAAAAAAAATAAAAGAGAGGTCATCCCCTTCACACATAAAGCACTTCATTTAGTCTTAAGGTCTGAAACCAGTTTTGAATAATTAAGTTTTCCACACAGATCCTTATCATACTGAGCCATAACTTGATAAATGTCATCTTCATCCAGGACAATGTTGCACAGTTTTATGACTGATTGGAATTGCGAAAAGTGTAGAAATCCTGATCCATCGCGGTCCAGTTTCTGGCAGGTTTGGTGAAGATTCTTCCAATCCACCCTAGATAACTGGGCAGAACAACAAAGACAGTGTCACTGGCACTCTACAGTGGAATTTCATTGGCAGACTTAGAATGACCATCTCTGTCCTCAACACAGACAGGGCTGCGATTACTGGAGAATAGTGCAAGAATACTAAGGGACTCGGCACATCTAGGGTAGGTTCCTGTTACCCCCAATTTAGAAGGTAAATGTCCTTTGTGGGAAGATTGTGTGTTTTTTTCATGGGGACTGGAATCATTATGTGGCTTTCTTAGGAATTTACAGGGTTATTCATTCAAATATGAATCGTAATAAATTTAAAGCGAATTCAAAGAGATCTTAATATCATAACTGAGAACATAGCTGATTTAGATAATTTTCCATTTTTGTTATATTGGCCTTGAATTAATTTTAAATTCCCTTTTTTTGAATAGCACTGTTGGAATATTGTGCAGCTTTCACTGAGAGTTGGATATATGGTTTCAATCTCATCTGGGATTGGGAATATTTTGTGCCTTTTTTTGTAATGGGAATTGTATGCCCCTTTAAAACCTCCACTTAATCCCTACACTGCCAGTTAAATATCAACTCTTACATTACACAATCAGTTACACAACCCCTATATTACACTATCACTTAAAGTAACACTATAGGGTCAGGAACACAAACATGTATTCCTGACCCTATAGTGCAAAACCTACCATTAAGGTGGCTTGCCCCCCGCAAACCCCCTTATCCCCTTTAAAAGCATGAAAAACACACCTTATTTCCAGTGCCGTGCGGGTCCGACTGCACTCGCCCCACCCTCTTGGTGACATCATCAGAATTGCAGATTATTTTGCCAATCCAATGCTTTCCCATGGGGAAATCATGGCCAATCAGCACCTTCTCATAGCACCTTTCTCTATGAGGAAAATTCAGCGACCCATGCAGAGAGTGGGGACGCTGAATGGCAGTGCTGCCTACTGTGCAGCACTGAGCCAGGGAGCACCTCCAGTGGCCATCTGAGGAGTGACCACTTGGCGGTGTCCCTAGGGGCAATGTAAACACTGAAGGCAATGATTATACTCACCAGAACAACTACATTAAGCTGTAGTTGTTCTGGTGACTATACATTAACCCTTACACTCCACTGGAAACATATATCAAAGACTCAATCTTTCATGTCTTGATATATTATGAGTTAGCACATGCAGTGTGGTTAGTATGCGTGGAGAGTAGAAGGACCATTTTGGGAGGGATCCCTACTGCTCTCCCTTGTCAGTCAATTCTTCATTATACAATCTATTCTGGAGAATTTACTTCAAAGTGGGAGGGAGACCTATTTTTTAAATCTTTTATGTTTTTCTTTCAATCTATACATTTGCTAGCAAATCTGCTTGCACAATGCATAGATGGAATTGTATACTCTTTCAAAAGAGCATAGGTTGTAGGTACCCATTAAACAATTTCAAATCTAGATAACCTAATTGTATGAATCACGGTTTAATACTCAACCCATAGTGATATCACAAGACTATTCATGGTGCACGATTTATGCCTACATTACCCTTGTTCTGTGATGTAAAATGTATGGTGACAACAATTTTGAATAGGATTTTCATTTTACCTACCCTGTCTTTTAACTTGGATGTGATGGCATTCAAACCATGTTGAACAGATTCCTGGTTTGATATCACTTTAACTTCCTTCTTTGTAGCCTTGAATCTATTCTTCTTTGAGAGTGACTGTCCAGGTTGATAAGGCTGAAGAAATTCTACGTATGATACTCTACAAAAATAAAACAACAATACAAATTTGGGAAACTTGATAAGGACAAGGGGCAAATACCATTAATGGGATCTGGATTCATATATATGGTAAGCAAACATAATGGCTTTGGATGGCTATTGTACTTTTACCCAGCTCCCAGGACAGCCTGCATAGCCTATATAATGTTCAAATGAAGTGTTTAGAAATCTATAGTATCAATTGTATCAATGGATTCATAACCACTGACAACAAAACTGACAATAATGGTGATGCTGCGAATGCGATACAGTATAGATCTAATGTTTCAACTGTTGCTAATGTAGCTTTTTTAGAAGGTGACGAGTTGCCTCTCTCCATAGAGCACCTGTTCTGTCCATCTCCGAACTTTGCTGCCATTGAGTCACATTGATGTTGGGTCAAATCTGGGCTCAGGTCTTGTAAAATGTCGAGAAACTCTTCCTTAGTGACGTATCCTGTATTTGAAGGATCTGATTCTCGAAACTGGATCCACAGTTTGTCAAGGAAAAGTTTCACCTGAAATATCAGACATATGACATGTGAATCATGGGATTCTGGACAACAAACCCAGATGTAAACCATGTTAATGCAGAGGTTCTAGTTGTTTATGAACAGACAGAAATTACACACACTCAACTGAGTTCAATGTTCTCAACGAGAATCGGTCATCCCCCTGACCCACTGGGGCCTTGGTGCTGTCACTGGTAGTCCTGCAGCTGGATCTCGAAGATTTTTTCCATTTCTGCTTCTTTGAAACTACAACTTTAAATTTACTTTCAATTCCGGACAGTTCACATTTCAGTGAAAACCTGCGAATTGCATATTTTTATTGCATGTCACTCTGCAGCGTTTCGCTTTGTGCATTACTCTAAGGTGTTTTATTTTTTGTGTGAATTAACACACAAGTGTTTTAGTGTGTTTTTTCAACAACATTTTTTTTTAAATATGACTACTATGTTTCAAGATTTTTTTTTATTTTTTATTATGAATTAATGTCTAAAACTATTCCATTCTTAGCATTAAGTCTTCCAGTTTATTCACTGGACCTAAATGCAGGGAGGGCTGGAAAAGGGGGTACAAGAGCCCGGCCACAAGCATACAGGAGGTTTGGGCTGCAGCCTTATACCAACAGTCTTATAATGATTACATGTAGGAGGAGATTTGTTCAGCTGCCTATTTACACAGTGTCGAAGGAGAGGGGCAGCAGGTGGGAATTTTTCATGGCCAGAATTATATGGCCATGAAAAATAACCTTTTTGTGCTTGGTGTGTGGTAGTGGTAATGGTAGATATCTTCAGACATCTTTACGCAGTGACACCAAAACTAGATACAACATTAGCGCCCACTTTGAAATTCTGGGCTTTTCTCCGAGATGTGAGAAACACTATATATCAACACGTTATCAATCACGTATATCTCATGAAAAAAAAAAAGTAATGAAAGGGAGTAGCATACGTTTTAACATTTCAAGTGGCCAACGAGGGACACTTTAACTTTAGGGGTGTGAATGAAGATGTGGCCAGGGCTGGGCTGTTCTGAGAATTTTTAGGAGACTTACTAAGAACAATTTATGAACTAAAATATAATTTAGAACAAGAACATGGTACCTTATTTACACAGATCAATTTCTAAATACATTTATTGTAGTGTAAAGGCACATTACTGTGGGTATTATTGCTGTGGAGTTCTAGAATACACTCAGATACACCAACAATATAAAGCTCCTAGAAAAGAGGGACATTACGGTAGGAAAGAGGGCTAAGAGGGATTTGGGCTAAAAATAGGGACAAGGGTTTTTTTGTGTGTTTTTTTTTTTTTTTAAGGAATTTCTCAGATGGATCCCTTCTGGGAGCACAAAAGTAAAAAAGGGAAGTCTCTGTCTGTGTGTAAATATAAAAATATGCCAACATTTAAGAATCAAATACCACTTAAAACTGCATAAAGTGTACCCTGTTAGGGGCACTCCACTACAGAATTGCCTATAGAAATGAATGAAAAATTGGAATATATAAATAATGTAACAAACTTTATGAGACTTCTATATAAAGAAATCCATAAAATAGATTTGACTAAAAAGGTGTAGGAGTGTACGGAGACATTTAATGTAACCCACAATTTACAAACAAGGGTGGTTCTTACGGTCAACTAATAATTTAAAGCGGTATGTATAATTGAGACTTATTGAAACCTTAGTAGATCAATCTAATTAAAAAGGGTATTTAACTCTAAACAGTAGATTTCCCCAAAGAAAACATGAATGTTGATAATTAGGTATGCTAATGAGTGGAAGAGCAGTGGACAAACATATCACTGCACTAAATTGGACTAGAAAGTAGTTACAGTGCAGATGCTCCTCAGTTACCGACCGGGTTCCTTTCTTACGACCTGGTCGTAAAACGAATTGGTCAGTAAGTGAGGCGCATGCGCACCTGTACAAGTCTACGTTCGGGGAAATTTCCTCGAACATAGACAAGTGCAGCAGAGCAGGGAATCCCTCCAGTTTATGTTCGGGATAATTGCCCCGAACATAGACCAGCTCTCTAACGTGGGGAATCCCTTGAATCCCCATGCTAGAGAGACGGTCGTAAGTGGCACAAAACAGATAGGCCACAAAGTGAGATCAACCTTTAATTAAAAAATATTCTAAGCAGTTGTTAACATATGTAGCAAATTACGTGCTACCAATGTTGTAAGACTCAGGATGGGGTCCTAAAATCAATATACTTATAAGGCTTAACCCCTAACAGACGTTTACCTAGATGGCCGCTTTGCCTTTGTCTAGGGCTCCAATCCTATTTATAAATCAAATCCTGGAAGAACAGGAAAGATCCATTACCTTACGCATTCACTGCCGCAAGACACTTATTTCTAGGATCTAAAAATAAGAGCATTGCAACACTAAACATGTCCTGTGCTCTCCGCCTTGTCACCAGCATTTCATTCTACAGTAAATGGATAGCATATATCTTTTTGTGATCCCAGATTGTATTTGTCTATGAAATTTGCTATGCTTGCAGTAGGGGAATCTGTCCTTCGGCCTCACGGTGACCTGTTGCATTCAACTAGATACCAGATATTAATTATAATATGTTTTAATTGTATTTTACTAAAATTATTTTACCAAGAAGACATAGAACACTTTTCTTTAATTTTAAGTAAAAACATTATAAATTGTTAGCTTGGGATAAGAGTATAGTCTCACAAATAGGCCTAGCAAATACAATAAGTATTTTCCAAAGTACTGATACTTAAACCTAATTAGCAAACCCCATTAGTAATGAGACTTACTGCCGTCCAAGTCGGAATCTGATTACTAATATTATATGGAATGATATATTCATTATCATCACGCTTGTTATCAGCTTATACATTCTCAATGTATAATGTTACTTATTGCGCCAGGAATTCAGGGGCGAAGTAGTGGAGGATGGCGCCACTACACCTTCAGGTCACACCCTGTGCAGTCGAACACGCCACTCAAAAAATTACTAAAATGTGTCATTTTACAATCATGAAAATAGAACAAAGACATCTCTCTGTGCACAGCACCAACCTTAGATTGCTAGCTAGTTAACCTTTTCAGGTCCTCCTCTATTAGTCAACTGGGTTAAAAGCTGGATTTGAGAATTCTGCCCGTTTGGATATTCTGCCCTTAATTTTGTAATTCTTGTGTACGTCCTCTGCAATTCCAAATCTAGTGATTAAACCCCAGTGTGTTAAGATAAGAGGTATAAATGAATGGAAATAGAAGGCTTGGAATAAAGAACCTTGATCCTAATCGTCAGAAGTAGGTTAAGGGGAATCTCATGAAGAGAAATCAGAGAACGAGACAGTGCTACTTGAAAGAAACAAAGAAAGGGGTGGGGGGTAGGGGGTTTAACTCTTCTTATACAGAAGGAAGGAATTACAGAAACCCCAATATTTAACCCTTCTGATGCCAATAGAAATTATAATATGTTAAAAGGGTTAATTTTATCAGAATCTAATATACCGACAGAGTTAATGCTTATCTGTCAATTTAATTAAGCAAATAAAAATGGGATACAACGTCTTAACCCTTTTATTGCCACAAAAAAAAAAAAGGAAGATTATGAAAGGTTTAAATCCTTTTTCTCTCTTTCCTTTTGGAAACAACCTGCACCCCTATTCGCACCATCCCCTTCTCCGATTTCTGTTTGTAAAATGTCCCCTAACCTGTGTCTAATGATTAGGATCGAGGTCCATTATTCGAAGCCATTAGTTTATTCCTCAGTGTCGTATCCTAACACACTGCATTCATTGTGCACTGTTGTCTCTATTTAAATGTTGCATCACATAGCAGGCCCATTGTATTTTAAATGGAGAGAGTCTATTTATGTGCAGATAGCCGGCTATCCCTTTATAAGCAGCTTTTTGCAAATGGGTCCTCACTGTGTGCAGAATGCGACAAAGACAAAATGAAGATCTAATGTGTTATATTAAATAACTACGCTACATCAGGGATAGCAAAACTGGTGGTCCTCAGCTTCTGTAGAATTACTCCCATGCAGATTCGCTAAACTTAAGGAAGAGGGAGGTAATGGGTAATGCCCTAGAAAGCAGCACCAGACCACTTCATCTCAATGTGTGCAGTCATCCTGTCATTTTAACCCAGCAATGTAAAACATTGCAGATTTTGAAATATGGCAATAATGTTTACATTCTGAGGTTAAACACAACTTTAGTAGCTGCCATCCCAACAGCCACTAGAGGGGACTTCCACTCCTACAAGTCAGATATAAGGACATTGAACGTACTCTGATACTTATCATATTGATGCATTAAATTCAATGCTTGTCTATGAGAAGCATTTGATCAGAGGACTGGAGCGTGGTGCTCGCTGGGAATGCGCTTCCTGTTCCCTATGCTTCTGTTCCCTATGCTTCTAAAATACCTTTTTTTAAAAACTACATTTAGTGGGGCCCTGATTTTAAATAGTGAATAAAATACTATAGTGTTACAAATACATGTTTGTATTCCTAGTGCTATAGTGTTTCCTTAAAGGACCACTATAGTGCCAGGAAAACATACTCGTTTTCCTGGCACTATAGTGCCCTGAGGGTGCCCCCACCCTCAGGGTCCTCCTCCCGCTGGGCTCTGGGGAGAGGAAGGGGTTAAACTTACCTCTTTCTCCAGCGCCGGGAGTTCTCCTCTCCTCCCTCTTCTCCTCCTCTTCAGTCCATAGGAAATCACAGTGAGAAGCACGCAAGCGCCTTTAGCGGCTGTCAAGAGACAGCCACTGGAGGCTGGATTAACCCATTTATAAACATAGCAGTTTCTCTGAAACTGCTATGTTTATAAAAAAAAAGGGTTAACCCTAGCTGGACCTGGCACCCAGACCACTTCATTAAGCTGAAGTGGTCTGGGTACCTATAGTGGTCCTTTAAGGGAAGTAAATATGTGGCTAAAATTTAGCAAGACTGGTAAAATGTGAATATGGTAGTAACTTCTTACCAGGTAAATGCCCAGTGGGCCATGATAGCAATATGCTGAGGCCAACAGGGGACATCAGATTTGCACTATGCAAATGTTGGCCCTGCTTTGTGCCATGACGGGCTGGTGGGGTGATCAGAGATCTCTGTCACTGGCCCACAGGCTCTTCATTCCAACTGCCAGCAGGGGATGGAGATAGGAGGCCCAGGAGCACTAGCCCCAGGTTCCTCATGCAAGGTCAGAGTGTTGCCGCAGTTATAATAGCAATGCTCTGATCTCGCTAGAGTGAATTCTAGCGGAGCTGCTGGCTAAAATTTACTCTTGACTAGGACCACCAGGGCTTGCAGGAAATGCCCCCCCTCCCTCAGCAAAGGTAAGAAGAGAAAGGGATATTAAGTATGTATTTTTAATTGAAATAAATCTGAAAGTATGTATTTTTAATTTAAATAAATCTGAAATTAATCTGCCCCCCCAACACACACATTGCGCCTCTCACACCCTGCACTTCTCTCACACTCACATACTGCATACTGCACCACATACACACACACTGCACCCCTCACACACCCTGCACCCCTCACACACAAAATACAACCCTCATACACACACACTACACCCCTCACACACACACATTGCACCCCTCTCACACACTGCACCCCTCACACACACTGCACCCATAACACACATATTGCACCCCTCAAACACACACTGCACCCCTCACATACACACACACTAGATCCTTTATACACATACACACACTAGATCTCCTATACACACCCCGGGTCCTCCATACACATTAGATCACCTACAGACAATAGATCCTATATAGGAGGCATACACAATGCACCACCTACACACACACTACATTCCTAACATACACACTCTGGATACCCAATGCACATACTAAATCACTTGTAAGCAAATACACTACATTCCTTAAACATACTTTTTACCACCTTTACACACAGTACATCACCTATACACATACACTACAGCCCCTATGCGCACATTTGCTACATCCCTTATACACACTATGCCCTACACACACACACACACACATTCTCTCTCACTCTCCATAGTCCCTAGCCACACATATTACACCACAAACACAAAGCAACTGAAACCAACCTATTTACACAAAACACCACAATCAGTTCACTCTAAATTCCACAGTGCCTATTTCTACTACGAGAGCTCTTCAGCAGAGTTCGGCACATTGAACCAACATGCTTACTTTGAGAGGGGGCGAGTTTGTCATTTGTGATAACAAAACACTCTTTCTTTGACCTTGTCCCCTTCTCAGTGGGCTGCTGTGATTAAAAATGCCAGGGCCAAATTTTTTTTCCACTCCAGCCCTGCTTCTTACTAGTTTGGTGGTTCCATTTTTATCACATTGACAGTCCAAAACCACTTTTTTTTCACCCTGTGGAACATGTACGCTGTAGTGTACTGGTGAAGCAGTAATCATTTTACTGTAGAACATAATGGTAAATATTTCTAGATCAGGGGTAGGCAACCTTTTAATAATACTGTGCCAAAACATAATCTTGAAGTCCCTTGATGTGCCGGTCCTATTTTTTTTAAATTGAGGTGTGTATGTTGCCGTGTGTAATAGGTGCTGCGGTTGCCTTTTAGCATTGTATTTGTGTGTATGTAGGTTATTATATTCATATTCATGAGTATTTTGTATTATTGTGTATGATACCTATAAATGGGGGCTGCTTGTAGAATAAGGTGTGTGAATGATATGTCACATTGTGTGTTAGGTGCTGTGTGTATGTGCTGGGATGTTTGTGGTACTGCATATGAGAGGCTGCTTGTGGGGTTGTGTGCGTGTATGTGGATTGTCAGGAGTGTTGTGTTTGTGGGGACTGTGTGTGTGTTTGTTTGTGGGCTGTTTCTATTATTTACTTCTTTTGCAGCTCTCTTTATATCTAGCAGTGTGGATGGCTTCTCTGGGGTCCATTGAGGACCAGGTTGACCAGATACAGATCAAGGGCAGGAGCTGTGATAGTTGCTGCAGTCTGCTCTACTCTAGTGCAGATTTCTGTTCACAAGTTCCAAGATGAAGAATTCTGAGATCACTTCCTCTAAGTCAGGGCCAGCGCGTCCATAAGGCGGCACAGGCGGCCGCCTTAGGGTGCACCGGCTCTGGGGGCGCAAAATTCCAGTGACCGGCAGGAGGGAAGTGCTCCTCTTGCCAGGTCACCTTCTGGATCCCCGGCGCGGCGTGCGGATGAATTGGATTCCGAGGTGGAGAAGGAGCTCTGATCTCTCTGATTTGCTCCCCCGCAGGCTGTTTACAGATGCCGCGGGAGCCGGAATATGACGTCATCAGTAAACAGCCTGCGAGGGAGCAGATCAGAGAGATCAGAGCTCCCTCGCCACCCCGGAATCCAATTCAGCCGCACGCCTCCCAGCAGCCCCACTGGACCACCAATGAGAGACCCACGCCAGCTCTCCAGGTAGGGAGGCTGGGTGGGACATTTTTATTTAAAGGACCACTCTAGGCACCCAGACCACTTCAGCTTAATGAAGTGGTCTGGGTGCCTGGTCCAGCTAGGGTTAACCCATTTTTTTTTATAAACATAGCAGTTTCAGAGAAACTGCTATGTTTATGAATGGGTTAAGCCTTCCCCTATTTCCTCATGTGGCTGTCTCATTGACAGCCGCTAGAGGCGCATGCGTGCTTCTCACTGTGATTTTCACAGTGAGAGCACGCAAGCGTCCATAGGAAAGCATTATGAATGCTTTCCTATGTGACCGGCTGAATGCGCACGCAGCTCTTGCCGCGCGTGCGCATTCAGCCGACGGGGAGGAGAAGAGGAGGATCGGAGGAGGAGAGCTCTCCGCCCAGCGCTGGAAAAAGGTAAGTTTAATCCCTTTTCCCCTTTCCAGAGCTGGGCGGGAGGGGGACCCTGAGGGTGGGGGCACCCTCAGGGCACTATAGTGCCAGGAAAACGAGTATGTTTTCCTGGCACTATAGTGGTCCTTTAATTTAGATTATTAATTACTGTGAGTATGTGTGTCTGTGTGTGTGTGCATGTGAGTATGTGTGTCTGTCAGTGTGTGAGTGAGTGAGTGTGTCTGTCAGTGTGTGTGTGAATGAGTGAGTGTGTCTGTCAGTGTGTGTGTGAGTGAGTGAGTGTGTCTGTCTGTGTGTGTGTGTGAGTGTGTGTCTGTCAGTGTGTGAGTGAGTGAGTGTGTCTGTCAGTGTGTGTGTGTGTGAGTGTGTGTCTGTCAGTGTGTGTGTGTGTGTGAGTGAGTGTGTCTGTCAGTGTGTGTGTGTGCATGTAAGTATGTGTGTCTGTCAGTGTGAGTGAGTGAGTGTATCTGTCAGTGTGTGTGTGTGTGCATGTGAGTATGTGTGTCTGTCAGTGTGTGTGTGAGTGAGTAAGTGTGTCTATCAGTGTGTGTGTGTGAGTGAGTGTGTCTATCTGTGTGTGTGTGTGTGTGCGCATGTGAATAGGTGTGTGTGGTTCTGTCAGTGTGTGTGTGTGAGTTAGTGTGTCTGTCAGTATGTGCGTGTGTGCATGTGAGTGTGTGTGTGTGTCAGTGTGTTTTTGTCAATGAGTCTGTCAGTGTTTGTGTGTCTGTCAGTGTGCGTGTGAGTGTCTGTCAATGAATGAGTGTGTCAGATAAGTGAGTCTGGCTGTCAGAGATGTCTGTGTGTTTGTCATTGAGTGTGTGACTGTCAGTGTTTCTACACCCCTGACTGTAGCGTGGCCAAGCGGAGTGTACCGTGGTACAGGAACTTCTGTTTCCTGTTCCTAGCAGGACTGACAGGAAAAGCTCACTGTACCAGGATTCGCTCCGCTCAGCCACGCTACAAGAAAGGTAGGAGGCACATCAGGAAGGGGAGGGGACCACTATGGGGGTGGGTGGTGCACCAAGGGACAGGGAGAGGAGGGGAGAGATACCCTAAGGTACAGGAAAAGGAGGGAGGGAGGGAGAGGAACACTAAGTGACAGGGAACAGAGGGGGGAGGGGAGAGGAACACAATGGGACAGGGAAAGGAGGGGGGAAGGGAAAGGAACACTGAGGAACAGGGAAAGGAGGAGAGAGGGGAGAGGAACACTAAGGGTCAGAGAAGGGAGGGGACCATTATGGGACAGGGAGAGGGGCTGGATGTAAAAGAAACACACAGCGGGGCTTGAGAATGAAAGAGACACACAAAGGAGCTGGGAAGAATAAAAGACACAAAGGGGCTGGGAGAAAAGGAGTCACACAAAGGGGCTGGGAGGAGTAAGACACAAAATGTGTGAGGATGTAAGAGTCACACAAAGGCAAAAATAGGAGATAAAATACACTAAAGGGAGTCCGATATTTAAATGACGGGATAAGAAACACAAAAGGGAGGTTAAGAGGCACATGGGCGAATATGTTTTTGTGGGGGCGGAAAAATGCATCTACCCAAAATTCTTTGCACCGGCCCTGCTCTAAGTGCTGTGATGCGTAAATTGAGGATTGTCCCTCAAAAATGTGTAATCACCGTTCGTTTGCACAAGCAGATATTTCTTTGGTAACCTTGAGTGTCATGATCGGCACACGTGCCATAGGTTGCTGACCCATACTCTAAAAAATGCTAATTTTGAGGTGTTTGTTGAGTGAAAGGATGACATTAACTGAATTTCACTGGAAAAAATCTGCACCAGTGACATTGACAGGGCTAATGACATCGCAAGTGTCAACTAATAACCTGCGGAATACAATTTGCAATATATTGATTATGCTGAATTTCTATTAAATTCAAACACAATTTATAGACTATTTTTCATTTTCTGCAAGATTCTGTAAGATTCTGCATGAAAAATGTGAAAGTGAAATGTATCCTACAGCTGTAGGCTACATTGGTTGGAAAAGGCACATTATATTTACATTGACCAGCCACAACATTAAAACCCCCTGCCTGATATCCTTTAGGTATCCCTAGTACTGACAAAACAACTGTAATGCATCGAGGCATGGACTCCACAAGACCTCTGAATGTGTCCTGTGGAATCTGGCACCAAGACATTAGTAGCAGATCCTTTAAGTTCTGCAAGTTGCCATGTGGCACCCCCATTGATTAGATTTGTTGTCCCAGTACATCCTGCAAAAGCTTAATTGAAGTGAGATCTGGAGTATTTGGAGGCCAAGGCAACACCTTGAAAACATTTGTCATGTTCATCAAACAATTTCTCAACAATTTCTGTGGTGTGACAGGGTGCATTATCCTGAGAGGCCACTGCCATTAGGGAACACCATTACCATGGAGGGCTACATGGTCTACAACAATCTCTATGTAGATGGTACACATCCAGATAACATCCACATGCCAGGACTCAAGGTTTCCCAGCAGAACATTGCCCACAGCATTACACTGCCTCCACCAGCTGGCCTTCTTGCCATAGTGCATCCTGCTGCCATCTCTTCCCTAGGTAAGTGACGCACACGCACTCGGCCATTCACATGATCTAAAAGAAGGTGTGATCGGGTTTCAAACTGGATGGTGCTGTAGTGGAGGAACACCACCATGAAATACTCAAAAAGCAACTTTACCAAGCATGAAATATTAAAACTTGACCCAAAATCAGCCAATCTAACATGGCACTTCATAGGGCAAAGAAAAAGGCAGACAGCAAAGAAAAAATGCTTTCTTTGCAGTTTGCCAGGTGCAAAACAAGCATGCTACCCAAGATGGTGCCAAAGATAACAGGGAACAAGAGTTAGCGATCAGCCAGACAACTCTCGATGAGCAGTCGATCACTCAATCTATCCTACATGTCCTCATGGATACTGTCCAATAAAATACAAGTGACACTCCAAGCAGCAATGGGAGAGATGTGGAAAGACATACAAGATATAGAATCCCACACTGCGCATCCAGAATCCAAAATGGAGAACTTCACAGAAGCCCACAACCCTTTGGCAGATTGAGTAGAACAAATGGAAGCCCAAATTGAGAAAATCTAAAACAAATTGATCGATCTTGAGGATAGGTCCAGAAGACAAAATATATTCTTGAGAGGCTTCCCTGAAGAAGTATCAACCACATCCATATCTACATGGTCTATTTCAGGTCTTGGCATCAAATATCCCAGCTGACGTGTTACTGGTCGATTGGGCAAACAGGGTTGCAAAACCAACCTACCTACCTCAGGCAGTACTCAGAGATGTGCTGATGAACATTTACTATTACCATATAAATAAACAATCCTATGATCTAGCAGGGCCAAAAGAGACTTACCGGACACGTACTAAGATGTGGCTGTTTATACGGATTTATCACCGGACACTATGAGAAAATGCAATGATTCCAAGAAGATTACAGAAGATTATCATGTGTGGTACCGATGGAGATTACCTGCAAAGCTACTTGTGTTGAGAAACAGGAAGATTACACCTATGTTGTCCCAGCCGAAGGATTCCACTTGCTGACATCTTGCGGGATAATTTTGACCTCTCCTGCTAAAAGTCCTTCACGGAGCCCGAGACTACAGCTTGGCTGAAAACTAGCCTAACCGTGATACATCTGATCTAAAAGGAAATGTGATTCTTCCCACCAGGCAACCTTCTTCTATTGCTCCATGGTCTAGTTCTGACACACTCAAGTCAACATTGAAGGCAGTTTTGGTGTTGGACCCAGACGCTGGTTTACAAGTTGTCCTTCCTTGCACCACTTTTTGTAGGTACTAACTACTGCATACCAGGAACACCCCACAAGACTTGCCGTTTTGGAGATGCTCTCACCCAGTCGTCTAGCCATCACTGTTTGGACCTTGTCAAAGTCACTCAAATCTTTTCACTTGCCCATTTTTCCTGCTTCCAACACACGAAATTCAAGAACTGACTGTTCACTTGCTGCCTAATCTATCCCACCACTTGACAAGTGCTATTGCAACAATATAATCAATGTTATTCACTTCACTTGTCAGGGATTTTAATGTTGTAGCTGATCAGTTTGTATATTACATGGAAGTTATTATATTTGTAGTCTATCTGGTCATACATAGCCTTTATGATAACACACTTAAAGAAGCTGTCTTTCAATAAATGCAGTTGTAGATATGGGTGCCAAGTTAATGCCATGTACCTAATTTAGGTCCCCATCACACTAGGTTAAGGATCACAAGCCTTATCTATAATGCCATCTTGTGGACAAAAGTGGAAGTGCACATACTTTTTAACCCCATAATTAAAGAAGGAACTGTAGGGGCTTTGCGGACGAGACTGGTCCAACTAGTTATTTAAATCTGAATAGGGATTTGCGACAGAGTGGAGGTAACTCTTTTTGGTGTCTGTTTTATGTTTTTTGGGCTGATGAATACTGCAGCCATTGCTGCTGCCCAGTAACAGAGAGAGTTTGAAGGGACACTTCAAACAAACACAAAAATCATGGTTTGGTAGATATACCCCAAATGAAAAACGTACCTGCATTTAATTATGTATATCTTCATTGGAGTTATATCTAAAAACAGTTTGCAAAAGCTGCAGTTCTCTTGTCTGCTGCCTTTACAGACCTTCTCTTCTAAACCTTCCCAGGCTTTCTGTGTTGTCCAACCACAGACGTAACAATGCAGCTCAATGAGAAGTCTTTACAAGACAGGTGCTCTGAACACTTGCTGCCTCTTGAGCTTAGTTCCACTGAGCTAATCAACCAGGAAGTAACAGGACTGGTTGTCTGATTGACAGCCATGGGAGTGTAACAAGGTTCATTTTTAAAAGTGTTGATTTCTATTAAAATTTGCACTTTTTGTAAAATGGAAAGAGGACACACTCTTCTCAGAAAGCATTTCAGAAAGATAAAATCCTTTAGGGGTCCCTTTGAGAGCAATGTTCCATTTTATGTATTTGTTTTTATATTACAAAACTATGTTACAGTTTTGCCACCCAACCCCTATTTACCCTATTAAGAGTTAATAAGTGTTTAGGGGTTCATAAAAATACCTTTCTCTATCTCATTAGAGATTTTGCCTTTTAGCTAAACGCAGGGTGAATTGTTAGTGTAGGACTCACCTGAGAGATTTTGCTTTGATTTGGCAGGTGAGCTTACACTCAAATGACCACGGGAGTGATACTAAAAAACCTCCATGTGCATAGAGATTTGGGAGGGAGTGTAGGTAATTATTTTTGGTTTCTGTTGTATTTATTTGGGCTGATAAATACTGTAGCCATTGCTGCTGTCCAGTGGTTTAGGCTTATGGCTTAATCTTGTGTGCTTGTATTCACAGTATCTGTTAATTTCACCACACGCAAGGCTCACTTTGTAATGAGAGTAGATTTAGAGGTTTCCCCAGGTCAGCTTTGTCATGGAACTCATCACGACTTAGTTTATATGATGGATATAGTCCCAAGATAGAACAGCACACTCCATCCACCAATCACATTCTCTAACTTCTATCATCCTCAACCAGTGTTGATCAAGTCGTTTGGGGCTTTCAATTACATCTGTCTCTGTCCAGACAATTAATAAATTATGAAAATAATACACTGTTCTCAAACATCCCTTGAATTTATACTTTCTGTTGTAGTTTTCCATTTATCCAAACAGGAATTGGTAAATGTGAAACTCCTGAGTGGGGGGTAACCCGAGGGATAATTCTAACAGTGAGCCATTTCGTACATTTTTTTGACAGTTTTTTATATTTATATTTCATTAATATAATTATTAATAATAATTTCCAATACTGGACAGCATCCAGTTACCATGAAGCATAAATACCTTTGACTGGAGCATGTTTGCAATTATTTTGGTGTCAGAATTCAGTTTATTGGACCGTATCAGGCAATCTCCATCACCTCTCACTGGAGGAGAAATGTTGGCGTTTGGGAAGCAGGAGGAATTGGGCGAAAAACCAAAATGACGAATGAATTGAAAAAATTCAACTGTGCAATCTTGATTAAGAATCAAAGTATCCCAAATCTTTCCAATTTCTTCTCTAGAAATCTGCGTTCGGATCTCGCATCTACAAAATGACAGGAAACAACATTCTAGAAAACATCTGATCACACTGTTTACAACGGATGTGTAATCATTTAACCCTTTGATACCTAACAGGTATATAGCTCACAAAATAACAGGTTCCAAAGAAGATCATACTTTTGATAAGATAACAGATACTTAAGGAGCCCTGTCTAGACAGCTGAAAATTATAAGTCAAAAATAGCCAAACTGAAAAAGTTCTTCAACTATTTTTTCACAACAAAATTTACCATTTAAAGCCACAATAGCTAATCCAGATGCATAAATTAGAGAATTTTTCCAGTTCGACTACTTTGACTTTAAATGGTTACTGCAAGCATTCTAATAACTGCTCGGTTTGCTCTGTTACCTGGAAATACGCCGTGCTGTGAGAGTCCTACATGGCCGATATTGTGTGTCCAGCTTCTGTAGAGCTGCAGAATCCAGATGCAGTTCCCTGCCGGCCATTCATTGGCTGAGAGTGTCAGCTGACTGCACTCGGCCAATGAATCCAACTCTGTGCATACAAATATGCACAGAATTGACATTAGCCATTCCAGTCTGACAAATGATGTCCCAGTGACGCAGCTATAACTGGAGTTAAACCCTCAATGTGCAGTGTTTCATAGCTAAAGGCTGCACATACCATCTCCAGGCACCATGGCCACTTCAAATCACTGAAGTGGTCATAGTGCGTGGAGTAACCATTTACATTTGAAATTAACTTTGTAATCTCAATTCAGTAAATAACCCTAAAACAGTTGAAAAAAACTGTCTTTTTTAATAGATTTTTTTTTATATCCCCTTTGTAGTTTTAAACAGGTATTTTTATATCAATGTTTTTGAATTTGTTAGCTTAAAGTTTGTTGCTAATTGCAATACTATGACATATGCTAATTACCCTTACATCGTTAATACTATATCTCCTTATTCCTGCCCTATGAAATCTTTTCATTAATATTATCATCATTAATTAATATTATTAGCATTAATATATATAAAATAGATATTAATATTAGTAGCATTAATACTGTTATGTTAAACACGTTTGTGATATAAGCTAGAAAAAAAGTACTTTTCAATATTGATTTCAAAGCTGGGTCCTAAAACGTTCAGGGTTTTTTAACCTAATATTTCATAAAAGTTCCAAAACAAATCACTTTAGTGAATTATAGGTGTATTTAAAAACTTGTCAGCTATTACATATAGATAAACATGCATGTCCCAAAAGCAAACTGTGTCAAAATGGTGACATGAACGCATGCATCATTCTGTTTGAGCATAATGTCCGCAAAGGACAATCATCAGTTTGATTATTATTCAGCTATTTGTTAATATCTACATTATCGTATTCCTCGTATTGAATTCCATTTTATTCAGCTACTTGTTAATATCTACGTTATCTTATTCCTTATATTGAATTCCATTTTATTCAGCTACTTGTTAATATCTACGTTATCTTATTCCTTATATTGAATTCCACTTTATTCAACTACTTGTTAATATCTACGTTATCTTATTCCTTATATTGAATTCCACTTTATTCAACTACTTGTTAATAACTACGTTATCTATTTGCTTATACTGAATTCCACTTTTTTCAGCTACTTGTTAATATCTGTTATCTTATTCCTTATATTTTTTAAATTCTTTATTTTGTTCACTCAGCAGGCAATAAAGAAAAGAACAATACAATATGTGGGCTGTTGCCCATAACGGTCACATGTAATAACAAAAGCATTTCACTGGCTGAGACACGGTGTCCCGCTGAGTGGGTTTTTGTTTTTTAAAACAGGAGCATGTAAGTCAACAAAGTGTTAAAACATCAGTATGACCCCTTGAAACCTGTATGTGATTTACTTAAAAGAGGGTCTATGAGTTGAGGCGTTCTGGGGATCAGGGGTGGCCCCCTCTATGGATTCACTGGAGTAGCTTAACTTTACAATCTAGGGGGGGGTGGATGGGGAGGGGGTGCCTGCACCAGTGTTTTCGTTGGACGTTTCTAGATATGGGCATCGTTCTGTGTGTGCCCTTCTACATCTGATTTTAATGTGGGAAAGGGAGTTTGTGAATGGGGTGTTACTGTGGTACTTTCTGGTATGGTTGAGGCCAGGTGGTCACCCCATATCGGACAACAGACAAGCAATCGCACAAAAATATATTTAAAAAAAAAAAATACGTAAGTAAAAGAGTAAAAGAAAGAAAAAATATATATATATATATATAAAAAAAAAAAAGAAAAATATGTGAGAGCTAAAATTTAAACGCTGGCATAATGTCTTTCAAACAAATGACAAGTTTAGGCATAATATACATAGTCACTGAGTGTGTCGGCGGGGTCTGTGGCATCCTATAGGTCCAAGTTTCTACCTGCCTGTGTTTCTCCCTCATGTTGTGCCGCCTGCTGGGTTGGCGCACCGGGATGATCTGGGCACAAACTCCCTTACTGTGGTGTGGTCCAGCATGGTCAGAGCGGTCGTGGATTTGGCTTGCGGCGTTTTCAGGCCCAATTGTGTCAGGTGAGAGTCCAGCTCCTGTAGGTTTCTTGCCCGGTATGCGGACCCTTGAAAGGTGAATGTCACGAGCCTCGGTGTACCCCAGCGGTACTGGATGTCCTGTGTTCTTAGGTGTTGCAGGCTCGGTTGTAGCCCCTTTCGCCAGCTGAGTGTGCTTTTAGTTAGATCTGGGAATATCTGTAGATGAGAATCTTCAAACAGTAGTGGGGTTTTCCCCCTGCAAGCTGCCAGGACAGTGGCTTTATCTTGGTGGGTTTGGAACTTCACGATGAGGTCAGCTGAGGCATTGGAGGGTGCTTTTGCCGGTTTGGGTAGGCGGAACATTCCGTCTAGTTTCAACTGTTTAGCTTGTTTGGGTTGCAGCAACGTTGCCAAGAGGCGCCGCACGTAATGTGGGATGTCGGCATTCCCAATGGTATCAGGTATCCCTCTGATTTTTAAGTTATTTTTTCCGCCTGTGGTCTTCTAAGGCCTCCACTTTGTCTGCTGTGTCTTGTTGTAGTTTGTGGAGTTCTGACATTCTCCATTCCAGAGTGGTGAGTCGGCTGCCGTGGGCAGTGGCGTTGGTCTCCAGAGAGGTAAGCCGCGTGTTGGCCCTTTCCATGGCCTCTTTGAAGGCTGCTCTGTCGGCAGCTAGGTCTTGTCTGAGTTCTCCAAACATTTTTGTTAGGAGGGCTGCAGTGGCCGGTTCTCCTGCTGGGGGTGCTTTGGTCGTGTGCCCCTTGGATTGGGTTGCAGTTGCACCTTCCCCCAGGTCCGGATAAAAATCTTCTGAGGAGTCAGAGTACCCTGCTTCCCCCAGCGCCATTTTCTCCCATGCGGCCTTCTGCGAGTTCCTCAGGAGTTCGCCAATATCGTGGCTGAAAGGGGGCTTGTCTGGCCTTAGTTTTTTGTTTTTCTTGCCCATTTTTGCTTCTCCCGCCAGTGGGTAAGGTGTGGGGTGAGTAGATGCCCAATCTCCGCTGGTAGATCGGTTAATTTGCTTGTGTTGGCACGGAGCTTTGCACGATGCGTCCTTATTCCTTATACTGAATTCCATTTTATTGATTTCTTGGTAGGTTTATTGACTATCGATCTGAACCTCCTGGGGTGTCTTCTAGGACTGTTGCACCATTTACAAACCTTTGTTGCAGCCCTGACCTTTGCTGTCATAGTATCTGCCGTACAGTTGGCACTACTTTTAAAACATACCAAGGGCTATAAATTGCTGTTTTAGACAGCTGTATTGTTACATCAACAACTTAGGCTAGCTTGAACGTCCATGCACTCCTGTTCTGGCGCTTTTACTATAGCTGCTGGGTTGATAAAACCTCTTTTTATCGCCTTTTTCATCTAGTTGGCCCTGAATTAAAGCACATGCAGAACAGAAGCTAATAGATGCTCAAACGTTGAGTGTCTCTAGAAAATGCATTAGACAAAAATCACAAAAATGCATTATCACAAGAATTACACAAGAATCCCAACGTTTCGACCTGTACCCAGGTCTTTATCACGCTTGATAATGAACTGGGTACAGGTTGAAATGTTGTGGCTTTCTTTTTGATCCAATAAATCTGCTTGGTTCCTGTCACAGTAAGTGCCTGAGATTCTTGTGTTTTGTACTATATTTATGAGGTATGCTGACCCGTACTCAGTTGCACCCCGTGGCTAAATAATTGACTGCAGTCCCTAATTTTTTTTCATTTTTTCTAGAAAATACATTGACAGACACTCTTGCTGGCTCAAACCTTTTCAAGAGCTGATACAAGCTTTCCACTGTGAGTCTTCTTGTATTCATAGAGTCCACCTGGTTGTAGGCCAGCTCTAGGGAGCTATAGTGGTTCCTTACTAAATTCTTAATAATTGCAGCAAGCTGGAAGAGATGAAATACTGGAAAATTATAATTTTGGCTATGATTATTTAATTCAAATGTCAGAAATTAATTAATTAAGTCCATTACCTGCTCTAGGCTTCTTGCTTTTGGCAAAGCACTCCCGGAATTCAACCTTCTGCTATACTCGGTTACAACGCTTCTGGACCCATCATAAAGGCTCAAACTGTCATCACTGAATCACACCAAAATAACATAATGTTCAATCAGGAAAAGCAGCAAGCAGTACGGCATTTCACTTGTTACACTCATGGCCTGTAAGCAGTGTTCCATAGTGTTAATCTGAGCCAGACGCGTTTATAAAATCTAATCACTTTATTATATCACATATAGGTTTAAAAACAAAATCCAAAGTGCTCAGCTCATAAAATAGTGATAAGATAACGATGGCGCAATGTCTGTGTGGTTCACAGACTTGGTTGAGACAAGTTATGATGTGATTTCCATTGTTAAACTGTCCTTTTTTTTGTAATGAAGAACAAAGTCTATGTTGAGTCTAATGGCTAGAATGTCAAGCTGCGAGGATAATACAGAATACACATTGTAAATAGTTACTTAGGCATCAATTTAATATTTTTCGATACACTTTTAAAATTATTTAATATATTGATATTTTGATCTATTTTTATATATATATATATATATATATATATATACATATATATGTTATATTTTTGATATGTAAATATTTTGAAAATAAATCATTTGAAAAACGTATCCAAAAATATTAGATCGAGGGGGGCGGGGCCGGGCCGCAGGGCCGACTGGCCGCCATCTACATGGGCTCCGGCATTAAACCTCCAGAAACAGCCCTTCACACGGCCCCAGACTGATTAAAATCCACATCGTCCCCAACAGAAGAGAGGCTCCGGTACACGCCTGTCACCCGCACGTACCTTACTGCTTGAGAGCAGGCAGAGAGAACCGAGCCCGGCCTACACGCAGCTCCTGAACATCGGCGTCCGATACCAGCAGCATCGCACCTCTTGGCCGGCGGGGGTTATCCTGGCCACATGGTGGCGACATGGGCCGCAGTGGGAGCCCCCGCACGGACTCTGTGCCGACCGCCTAAACTGGCAATGGCCGAGTACTGCCCAGCCAGCCAGCTGAAAAGAACACTGAAACTGGGGAGAGGAAACCTACATATGAGAGGGCACCCCGACAGGGACTGAGATGTTTCTGAAAGGTCAGAGCAAGGGGCCCTTTGAAGATTACTCACCATGGGGAGCCGACCTGGAAGGCCCGAGCGAAACCTGGTGTTGCAGGGCGCCCGATGGACCCCCCTGCGATGAATACCGGCCAGCAGGAAAAGTGAGTGCCCTAGCCTCTGGGTCTGTGGGGTCCCCAGAGAGTTATGTCCCTGCTGCCGCGAGCCCGGTGGGGCGGGACAGCGCAGTCCTTCCGGCGGACCAGCGGTGCGCACCGGCCCTAAGTATGTGGCTGGCACCAGGAGAGACACCAGGACACAAGCTTTACTGGGTCTGAGGTGGCGATGGGGAGGTGCAGGGTGTGGGTGGCCCACAGACTCTAGGTGTGGGGGTCGAGTGGTCTGCTTCAACCCCCTAGTGCCCACAGCGCAGCGGAGGACTCAGGTGCTGGGCTGGGACCGGCCCGGACGGAGACTTGGCAACTTGGGAGGCGGCCGAACCAAGGGAGGCCCTCATCGGACAGCTATTGAGAAATGCATGATGGAGAGGATGGCATGAAAAATCAAAGGGCATGCCAAAGATGTTTTCACCAAAAACTAGCACATAGACTTAATTGAGTCATAGACATTTGGCAGTGGGTAGTTGGTAGCCAGTAACCTACATCATAGCACATGTTTAACTTTAATTTGCCTATAAATAAGGACATTTGGATAATGAGTATTGGAGCTTCATTTGGGAATTCGGTTAATTGGATTTTCTTTCACATTCCAATTATCTTCATAATATAAAATAAAGTAGATAAGATATGATCATATTGTATATGCAATTCTCATGGTCAGCTCTAGATGTCAGTATGTGGCAAGTCTTCCTTATAGACTGGCAGCTATGAAGCTACTGAAATGCTTTGCCCATTATTTCCAAATACATCTAATTTATTGGTTTGCATTATATTTTCTATATTGCATTGCTTAATTTAGTTGTCAACAACGTTCCATCTCTTTTTTTTCTCTAGCAAATGTACTTGTCGAAAATAGCCTACGCTGAAAACATCTGTTGTGTGTATCACTAGGGCAGGATGATGCAACACAATGCAATTTCAGATTGCATTGAACCACAATTCCGTTAATGCTCAACTAAATATTCTTTTGGTGTCCATTTCCAATAAAGCTCTTCTAAACTGTATCTAAATTGATTTGCTGTCAGTCCATCCATATACGAAAGCCAAATTTCTCTGTTTAGTTTTTCCTGAAACGATTGCATGGGTGCAAATTTGTCCAGCTCGACACGCCACATGGACGTATCACAAAATCGACCAAAACATTACAAACCAATTTTTTTTTTCCAAGACAAACTGATTTGGATGATCTAAATATTTATGCTGTACACAGTACACTGAATAGCTCGGGTGTGGGAAATGGACAATACTCATGGGAATTATCAAGATTACCTATGTCCGGTTGCATGAATGCCCAAAATTACATATTTTTGTGCAATTGCCATGTAAAGTAGCAACTGCTCATGCACAGGGTCTGTTTCATGGTGAAAGACTAAAGCAGCTGAAAGGTTGGTAAGTACAGATATTAATAGTTACTCGCTTACCCTATAGGTTGCAACACAAGGAGGGATCATTGGAAAATGTATTTACCTGCTATCGAATCTGGCTATAAAATCCAAATATCGGATGCCTCCATAACCATCTGTAGGTAATTTTTCCAGCAATCTCATGAACTCATCATCGGTTAATTTGATGGCGTACCTTTTACAAACAAAGAAAGCTGATTAAAGTACACATATTATTGGTTTGCTAACCCAATACATGTGATTTAGTATTATCTTTTACAGCTCACGCCCTTCAGAAAACGGATCATTTAGATGAATATCTACATCATGGGTACATAAGGAACAGTTTATGGCATACAGACATAAATGTTTATCTGGTTGAAATTTTATTTATGGCAGAAATACATTAAAGTCTTTTTATATCTCGAAGGAAGACAAGCATTGCAGATGAGATATGCTTTAGAATTACCTCGTTTCGAGGATCGCTTTGAAGTCTTGTTGGCTTATTATGTTTATTTGTTTTGTATCCGCTCTCCTAGAAAAAAATTAATATTCATGTTATTTAAGTATGATCACTTATCTGTAAGCTCAGGAAATGCTATAGAAATGTTATAGAACAGTAAACTGAGAAAGAGTCCATATTATGGGTGCAGAGTTATAGCGGTTAAATTAAATTGAATTCAATTTTCATTGACTTACTAGAAAATTGTCAGAGCAAAATGAGACTTAAATATATTTTTATATGTATTAACAGCTGAACCTGACTGTTATATCTAGTCTAGGGCTAGAATCCACAATCGAGTATGGTGAAGGTGACTTTTACAAAGTCTTTCCCTGATGCTCAGATTCTGGCTGCCCTACTACTGCTGTGACAATGTGTGAAGGATATTTACTTATAATACTCCATTTCAACTTGGATGGCAGTTGTAGGCTGTGAGAACTGAACTAACCTGCATGCCAGCACTCATATTCTATCAGTGCTGTCCAAGTTCTATGTATAATATGGTATTATCTGAGTGGTTGGCATGGGGATGGATTTTGGGTTCTGGTATAGCCCCGGTTAGTGTCAAACAACTTGATAAAAAAAATAGTGGGGAGAAACTCAAAAACTCTTTGCACCATAACTACTCCAATGAGCTGTACTGGTTTAACAGCTATAGTGTTCCTTTAAACCACATTATTATTCTAGAACTTACATAGACTCCACTAAGACATAGTTAATGTACTCTGCTTCATTTCAGCCTTATTAATAGTTTAACCCCTTAAGGACACATGACATGTGTGACATGTCATGATTCCCTATTATTCCAGAAGTTTGGTCCTTAAGGGGTTAAAGGAAAACTCCAAGCACCATAAGCACTACAGCTATATGTAGTGGTTGTAGTGCCAGGAGCGCCCTAGTGCCCCCCTCCCGTTATAAGTAGTCAATCTGATTTTTTTTTACAATTTGACTTCCTACATGTAGTCCTCTTGCAATGCTCCTTGCCTCCGCTTTTATCGCTGGAGATCTGACAGAGTCTTAGCAGAAACTTCCATTAGCTTTCTAGAGCTAAGCCTTGCTATGCACGGCTTAGCTTATTGGCTAAGAGTGTCAGCTTATCACTCTCAGCCAATGGCCCTGATCACGCTCAGAAAATGATCATTATTACTTATAAAGCGCCAATAATTCACCACAATTCTCGGTTTATATAACAAACAGAGGACTGTGATGAACTGACAAACAAACTTGGAATGTAAGACTAAAATAAAAACCACAAAAATTATTTAAATTTGAGAATTTTTCTTTAGTTGCTATTACAGTCTTTGAATTAAACTAGGAATAGTTAGAATGATTCTCAAACTCAACACAACTGAAATTGGAGAATGCCAAAATAACAATGAATTCACGCACCGGAATGAATTGCGAAGGGAATTGAAATCTGTGTGAAACAGCTTGATAAGTTTCTCTTCCATAATACTGGTCGTGGTAAGCGCACTTGAAGATTTTCTCTTTACCAACCTGTTTAATAAAGATGCACATTTTGAAAAAGTGACTGGTGATTATCACTGTAATTTCTATTTAAATTAGAGACTGAATTTTATTATTTTTACTACTCATAATAAGCCAGACGTCTACTGCAGGTTAAAGTGGAGCTGTTAGATTGGAACAATTGTATGTAATATTTGTGTTATTATGCTTGTATATTTACTATTGCTATACATTCACTATAACTTCGCAACTTCCTTAAAAATGGCACAGCCATGGCATTTCATGCAAATCAACATATATTCCCATGATTCCTCTCTCAGTTAACAAGCACATTCCTTAGATGTGTTCCTATTGAAGTCCATGAGGCTTCATTATGGACACTTGATGGAGGAACAGGAGGATCTGTGGGAAAACCATTTGCTTCCATACCTGACATATTTCAATACAAATTAGTCCAAATGGCTGCACCTATTACCTGGTTTAGCCAGAAGAGAAAAGGGAAAAAAATATTTCATATTGAAACTTGTTTATTTTTTGAAACACAAACAATATAAAACAGTGAATGCAGAGTAAATATCAGGGTTTGTAACAAAGGTTGACAGAGAGCCAAGGATGGAGGTGCTCTATTGCAAAGATAGTTTTAAATATTGTGATAAGAATCTCTAAATTAAAAGGAATACCCCAGACAACATATCAGCTTCATCAGAAATAAGTTGTTATGGTGTGTTTAGGTCTCAGTCACCGCCTAATGATTTAATTAAAAAAAATTCAACCTGGCGCCCAATCACTCTGCCTCAGACCTCAGGTGCCATTTCATTGTCTTTTCTCTGCTTGTTGGGCAAGAGTGGCATTTGGAACCTCCTTGCACCAGAACAACTTAATGGCAATGAAGATCAATGGTGCCTAGAGTATCCCTTTAATTTTTTTTCAGACCTCACAAACACATTTATTATATATAAGGGATAAGTGAACTTCATATTAAAAATACTGGGAAGACATATTTCGCTTTTTAAACCTACCCATAAATTGTGGTTACTTCTAAACTCTATCCTTTTGTTTGTATGGTGCACGTGACTTACCTACTGCCAGCTGTGACAGAACTTCCACCAGATAATTCATTCCATCTCCTAGACTGCAGGCGCTGAACAAACTCAAAGTAGTTAACATGTGACAATCTTTCATCGAGCCCGAAGCGGGAGAGAAAACGGTCAAGGTTCTCTCCGGTAAGATGTAGATTAAAGGTTTCCATTACAGCCAGAAAATTTTCTCTTGTCACCTTTAGTAATAAACAATAAAAGGTGAAAATAACTTTAGTATGTTATTACATTGGCCATTGAGCTCTATATATCTTTTACACTTTCCTCCCAAGTGTCAGTTCTCAGACCTTTGAGAAAAGAAAATGTGGAACTGCACTCAGACCCTTCATCTAGGGTATCCATGGGTGCTAACCGGATCAGTACCAGGAGACCAAATATGTAACTGAGATATAGAAAGTAATCCAGGCACTCCAGAGTATCCAAAGAAAAGGCAATTTATTCAACCCACGATCCAATAAACAACGTTTCGACCCGAAGGTCTTTATCAGCATGATAAAGACCTTTGGGTCGAAACGTTGTTTATTGGATCGTGAGTTGAAAAAATTGCCTTTTCTTTGGATATTCCGGAGTGCCTGGATTACTTTCTTTATCTCAGCATGATAAAGACCTTTGGGTTGAAACGTTGTTTATTGGATCGTGAGTTGAATAAATTGCCTTTTCTTTGGATACTCCGGAGTGCCTGGATTACTTTCTATATCTCAGCATGATAAAGACCTTTGGGTTGAAACATTGTTTATTGGATCGTGGGTTGAATAAATTGCCTTTTCTTTGGATACTCAGGAGTGACTGGATTAATTTCTATATTTCAAGGTTCTCAGACCTTTGGCTAAGATCAAGTTTCGTACTCTTGAGCACAACAGACATTTGTAGAATGCACTTAAGTCCATGGTGCCACCAAGGCTCCATTTGTGGCCTGCTTTGATTCGTTCTTCTTCAAATTAATATTGTCTCCCAAATACAATGTGAGATCTTCAGACCTCATTACCACTGATGTAAGGTGAGATAAAAGTTAATGGAATCAGGGTGAGAATGAGCGAGCACATGCAGATACTTTTGTAGAATGTAGGCCTTTACTTCTCCTGTATCCAAAACAAAAAGATATGTATTGCTTATCCACTGCTGCTATTCAAATGTAGTTAATGTTTTTATCACTGCTTGGGAATGTAGGAAACTTGTCAAATAATAAAACATTTTCATAGAGTCATTATAATAATAAATTGTGTTAATTAGTCTGCTTTTCATTTATTATGGTGAACTCTAGTAGCTTGTACAGAGGTAAATTGAGTATTATAAACTGAGGTTAGTTTGTGTAAAGCTTATTAGATGCAAAGTCCAGCGGTGGAAAGAGAAAGAGTCGCTGGCAACGATTACAGGTCATGATAACTCGAGACAAGGAACAGATACAGTGTTATGTAGTATCAGAAGATAATATTAACAGATAACCTTCCTTGCTGCTCACGTTAGATTTTTCCTATTGGTGGATATCAGATAGGCCAAGGACAGAGTTTATTTAATGTTTTTAATACTAAGGAATTCTGAAAATAAGAGTAACCCAGAGAAACAGCTGATAACACAATGTGAATCTGGCAGGTAAAATTATTCTGTTTTGTCGATTAATGACTGCACTGATTACAGGTTGTACCATAAATACAACTAATGGAATGATTCAATTCATTACAGAGAGATCAGACATGTATCTAATACCTAAATCAGGGATATATCATGCCAAGTTCTCATTATGCTCAGCTATTAATTAATGATATTTTGTATTTCAGCTGCCATCATGCTGAGACACTAAGTGAGCAATCAGTCAACACTGCAGGCCCGCTCACACTTAACAACTGATCTGCAACCTCCTGCCCCAATTCCTTTAATTATGAGCCATTGATTGACAATTTTTTTGCAATCCATCTTAAACCATGCCTAGCCTAGCAATCACGTGGACCCAACCTCCAAAAATGCTTAGCCACTGATTAGCAATCTCTAGGACACTCTCTGTGACCAGCTGGGCATTATGAGAGTTGTAGCCTTTATAGTAATGATTCTGGTGATATTACCAGACCCCTCCCCCCAACACCCCACAAACATCCACCAACCATTCACCTTGCCCGTCTTTTGGGGATCGTACACCATGAATTCGTCCATCATGGCTCGAGCTCCCTCTCTGAACTTTTCTTTCAGCCATTTCTCTACATTTAATAATGTTTTTCTTTCTGTTTTTTGTTTCGACAAAGGAACTTTGAAAGGTTCTGTATTTTGAAAAGCAAATCAAACAGATTCAAGTTTATAATTAGCTCCAAAGAGAGGAACAACGAATCCACAGTCATGCAGTCGTTTCCTTATCTCATGTCCTGCTGCTCACATTGTGTGCACAGCATATATAACAATAACACATTCATCAGTAAAATAATCATTTATAGCATTATGTAAAAAAATACTAAAAGACGTTCAATAACATTGAACAAAGTGTGCACTGTGCAATACAAGGGCAGGCATTGTAAGAACAGCTTGTATTGTACCATCAAACATGTGTGCACAGCTGTAAAACGTTATCTCAGAATGTACCTCTGTGAAAAGCATGGGGCACTCTGAATTTTCATTGTATATTCCTGCAGAAATGGCTGGGCTAGCTAGCATCTTCTGTGTGTTTTTCTTTAAAACTCATGGAAGAATTCTGCACAAAGGATGGGCTATTTAGCAAGTGCAGGGTATAACAATTGAAAATGCATGGGTCACTCAGCATATTCTGCGTACATTGCTGTAAAATGCGTTTCCCACTTCGGATGCTCTGTGCTTACTGTTTTAAAATGCATGTGTCTCTTAGCATGCTCATTCTTTACTGATGTAAAATGCATTCATAACTTAGCATGTTCTGTTTACACGGCAGGATTGAATATAATTAACGTTGTGCTTTAAAATATGTAGGACAATTATCATGTTCATGACTATATATATATATATTTTTTTTTTTATACATCTTGATTTGTACTGACTTGAGTTCCTAATGGCAAGAATTAGGCTGATTATAGTCACTATAGCCAACATTCTGATGATTTTTGGAGTTCCATTTGTTACAATTCAGAGTTTATTGAACAAGTTCAGTTGTCATTATATTAACCGTTTTTTTGACAATCCAATAGCAACGTTAACACATTCTCACTTGGCTGATTGTTTTGATGCGTTGCTGAAACTTTTTCCAGAGCTGTCAGCAATAAGCTGCGATGATTATCCACTATTCCCAAATGGCCGAACAGACCCTCAGTTCGTAGAATCCCATCCTTTTTGGCAACGTATCTTAAAAAAAAACTTTGTTAGATAATGCCTATAAATATATTTACGAAAGTCATTTATTGTAGAAGAAATTATGTGACTTATGCATTTTCACTTCTGTGCGTTTGGTTTAAAGAAAGCCATAGATTGATGGTTTTTGGGGGGTCTATCCGCTAAGCAGTGAGTTTTGAATGTAATTTTATTTTTGTGCAAATGTTCTTTTTAATACACTTGAATTCTGTTTATTGAATACACCCTTAATGTTTATTTTGTTCTGACTTTTCACACATGCTCAAAGGGGAAAATACTTTATTGATTCTTTGGCAGGATTGAATATAATTAACATTGTGCAAGCCATTAAACCGACAGCACTTAGAAACATACACAAGCTTTGAGATGAATATGTTAGTAAATAAAAGGAAAATAACTATTTGAAGTTCTCCAGAGACCCTATTCACATACAGCTAAATACAAATCAATGGCTTAGACGTGTTGGCAGATGCTGAGAATTCCAATACAGGACTGGAGAAGATAAGCCAATTAATCTGATTTAAGAGACTGGAAAAAATATTATGAACAGGCACCAATAAAAAGAAAGCATTGAAAAAAAAAACCAATTAAATCAAACAACGTAGTTTTGGTTAAAAACAAAAAAATAGCACATGCTACTTAAATATTTGTTTGTGATCAGATTTTATAGTTAGTTATGAAGGCACCATGCCAAGATTAAGGCAGAGAATTCTGAAAGTTGAAAAGTATTTGTGTTTATGCGAAGAAAGGTCCCAGATTGCTATAGCTACAGGGTGTCTAGAATACCTCGCTAATGGGATATACGAAGCCGATTAAACATTTTTGGGGGGTTTCTGCATTTCTCTATCAAAGGGACTTTTCTGGTATTTCAGTTCTGGAATTCCCCTTACATTTGAAATGCTTATTGTATAGGTTCCTTCTTTAGTGGAACAGGTGAGATAAAACACATTTAAGCTTCAGTGCTCATGTTTCATATCAATTGTTTTCTCTTATTTTCCGAAGCAGGAAGGCTTATTGCAACGTTTAAATGTAAAAGTAAACAAATGAATGAGACCTTATACATTCCATCTAGATTCTACTTAAAGGAACACTATAGGGTCAGGAAAACAAACATGTATTCCTGACCCTATAGTGTTAAAAACACAATCTAGCCACCTGTCTGATCTCCCTCCCCCCCCCTTACCCCCACTTAAATATAATAAAAATCTTACTTTCATTCCAGCCTGCTGCTGCTGGCTCTGTGATCTCAGCCAATCACAATGCTTTCCCATAGGAAAGCATTAGATTAGCTGAGACTATCAAGAAGACAGATTAGAGGCAGAGCCAGCACAAGCCAAACAGCCCTGGTCAATTAGCATCTCCTGAGACCATATGCATCTCTATGAGGAAACTTCAGTGTCTTCATGCAGCACTGACCCAAGAAGCACCTCTAGTAGCCAGTGGAGGTAACTCTAGGCTGTAATGTTAACACTGCCTTTTCTCTTAAAAAAATCAAACAGTTGTTCTGGTGACTATAGTGTTCCATTAATTGTTGTAGCTTTGACCAAGTCTAGTGACTGAGGTTGTTCTGCAGGTGAGTAGATTATTGTTCCTGTCTTGGAACACTGTAATAACCAGAGTGAAGGAGAAATAAAGATACAGTATAATTGCACACTTATCTTACCTGTTCCATAATTTCTCATACTCCTTCTCCTTCATTGCTAGGCCTAATTTGGACAGAGCACCGTGGAATTCAAAAAAGTTCATGTTCTCTTTTGGAAAATATTTCAGAAGTTGAAAGTATCTGCAAGAGTCAATCGGGAGACCATCTCACTACATACAAAATATGTCACAGGCCTTTAGATCACCTTTAACAAAGGTTCATTGATATTAATAGTTCATATACTTGTTTAAACAGTTCCCTCTTCCCCTCCTGTACCTGTACACATTATTTCAATATTACATTCCATTAAGTACTTGCTGTTATATTTCCCCACTATAACGGTAAAGCGCAGTGCTATATATCTCCTTAAGGACAAATCTTCTGGAATAAAAGGGAATCATGACGGAAAATTTCCATCATATATCCTTAAGGTGATATTGGGTTATAACATTTCTCATAATAATAATAATAATCATTATGTGTGACTTAAAATGCTGATGTTTTATCTTTTTTGAAGCTTCAAACTTTTTTCACTCTCTACAGTCTTTCCTTAACACAAAACAAACTTAGAATGGGTACAACTGCAGAATTACCTCAATTTGCCCTTTAAACAAATACATGAGAAAAACGTAATAGATATTTGTTCCTTAATTTTTATTTGTCAGGATTTAACCAGGGAATTGAACTTTTAGACCAGAATTCCAGATCTAGAAACATAATCTAGATCAGGTGTTTTGGTCTAAAATATCTTATCCCAAGGTCAGTGATCAATTCCTGGTTTAAGGTCGGATGTACAGGAACAGAAGGTGGTGAGTTTCCAATCAATGGGAAGTGTGATGTAATTACACAAAAGGTAAAATGTTTATAGATGTTACATTCCCACTGCAACTCAATGAGAAGTCTTTTCAAGGCAGGTTCTCTGAGCTAAAGTACAAGGAAGCAACAGGATCAGTTGTCTGATTGACAGCCATGGGGGCGTAGCAAAGTTCATTTATAAAAGTGTGCATTTCTTTTGACATCTGCACTTTTAGTAAAATAAAAAAAAGACACAAGCTAAACTCGGGAGGCTAAAGTGCTTTAGGACTTAGGAGTATTCCTTTAAAGAGACACTTTAGTAACCCAAACAACATTAGTGTAATGAAGCAGTTTTGGTGCATAGATAATGCCCCTGCAGTCTCACTGCTCAATTCTCTGCCATTTATGAGTTAAATCATTTTGTTTATGCAGCCCTAGTCACACCTCCCTGCATGTGACTTGCACAGCTTTCCTAAACATTTCCTGTAAAGAGAGAAACATAGAAACATAGAAACATAGAAACATAGAATGTGACGGCAGATGAGAACCATTCGGCCCATCTAGTCTGCCCAATTTTCTAAATACTTTCATTACTCCCTATTCTTATCTTATAGTTAGGATAGCCTTATGCCTATCCCACGCATGCTTAAACTCCTTTACTGTGTTAACCTCTACCACTTCAGCTGGAAGGCTATTCCATGCACCCACTACCCTCTCAGTAAAGTAATACTTCCTGATATTATTTTTAAACCTTTGTCCCTCTAATTTGAGACTATGTCCTCTTGTTGTGGTAGTTTTTCTTCTTTTAAATATAGTCTCCTCCTTTACTGTGTTGATTCCCTTTATATATTTAAATGTTTCTATCATATCCCCCCTGTCTCGTCTTTCCTCCAAGCTATACATGTTAAGATCCTTTAACCTTTCCTGGTAAGTTTTATCCCACAATCCATGAACCAGTTTAGTAGCCCTTCTCTGAACCCTCTCTAAGGTATCAATATCCTTCTGAAGATACGGTCTCCAGTACTGTGTACAATACTCCAAGTGAGGTCTCACCAGTGTTCTGTATAATGGCATGAGCACTTCCCTCTTTCTACTGCTAATACCTCTCCCTATACAACCAAGCATTCTGCTAGCATTTCCTGCTGCTCTATTACATTGTCTGCCTACCTTTAAGTCATCAGAAATAATCACCCCTAAATCCCTTTCCTCATATGTTGGGGTTAGAACTCTATCAAATATTCTGTACTCTGCCCTTGGGTTTTTACGTCCAAGATGCATTATCTTGCACTTATCCACATTAAATGTCAGTTGCCACAATTCTGACCATTTTTCTAGTTTACCTAAATCATTTGCCATTTGGCTTATCCCTCCTGGAACATCAACCCTGTTACATATCTTAGTATCATCAGCAAAAAGACATACCTTACCATCAAGACCTTCTGCAATATCACTAATAAAAATATTAAAGAGAATGGGTCCAAGTACAGATCCCTGAGGTACCCCACTGGTGACAAGTCCAAGCTTCGAATATATTCCATTAACTACAACCCTCTGTTGCCTGTCACTCAGCCACTGCCTTACCCATTCAACAATATTGGAATCCAAACTTAAAGATTGCAGTTTATTGATAAGCCTTCTATGTGCAACAGTGTCAAAAGCCTTACTGAAATCTAGGTAAGCAATGTCTACTGCACCACCCTGATCTATAATTTTAGTTACCCAATCAAAAAAATCAATAAGATTAGTTTGGCATGATCTCCCTGAAGTAAACCCATGTTGTCTCTGATCTTGAAATCCATGTGTTTTTAGATGTTCCTCAATCCTATCCTTTAACATGGTTTCCATCACTTTCCCCACTACTGAAGTAAGGCTTACTGGCCTATAGTTGCCCGACTCCTCCCTATTACCTTTCTTGTAAATGGGCACAACATTCGCTAACTTCCAATCTTCTGGGACTACTCCTGTTAACAATGATTGGTTAAATAAATCTGTTAATGGTTTTGCTAGTACACCACTAAGCTCTTTTAATAGCTTTGGGTGTATTCCATCAGGTCCCATTGACTTATTTGTCTTTACTTTTGACAGTTGAAATAGAACCTCTTCCTCTGTAAACGCACGTGTAATAAATGACTAATTTATCCTTTTTCTCAACTGAGGTCCCTTTCCTTCATTTTCTCCTGTAAATACAGAACAAAAATATTCATTGAGGCAGTCAGCCTGACCTTTATCCTCTTCTACATGCCTTCCTTCTTTTGTTTTTAATCTAACTAATCCTTGTTTTACTTTTCTTTTCTCATTTATGTATGTATGTTTGCACTTCCTTTATCGCAAATTCTGCTTAATTTACAATTTCTTACCTCCTGCTCTGTTAATAGCTTGCGAGACCCTGCAGGAACCCCCTGTGTGTAATTAAAGTTCAATTTACAGAGCAGGAAATAAAAACTTTTAAAGTCCACAACCAGGGGAGCTGTGACTAGGGCTGCATACACAGAAACAAATGAGATTCAACTCCAAAATGTCAGAGAATTGAGCAGTGAAACTTCAGATGCATGACCTATGCACAAAAATTTGCTTCATTAAGCAAAAGTTGTTTTGGTGACAATAGTGTCTCTTTAATATTGTCAATTTTGCCCTAAAATTTGCAGTTCTCTTACCAGTTCTTTACAATTCCCAGTTTATTGATAATGTCCACTGTGGGTTTATTGAATTAAGTGAATTTTGCTATTTGATTGTCTCTACAATTTAGTGTTTTTACTACTAAATCCTGTACAACTAGGAAGCTAAAGGAAATCCTATGTATGCCAATTTGTTGCTCTGAGCCTCCTGACCTGTTTTCAGCCATTTCCTTCAGTGATAAATGAACCTCATGTGCTTCTTTCAAAGCCGGCTTATGTTTTCGCTTCATTGGATCCAGCCAATCAGGTGGCGCGCTGTTTTCCTCCCTTTTAAAGCCATCGTAAAAGGCATCAAATGATATTGTGCGTTTGTTTCCAAGTTGTAGTCTGAGTGCAAGAACAAAAACATTGTGAAATGCAAATGGCAAGTACTACAGACTTCTAGACAAATTATTTTCTTTAATACATAGCTATATATTATATAAATTCACACCCTGGGATTCTGGGCCATTTAAATCCAGCACTGTTATTGGAAGGGACTCTCTGTTCAGGATCCATCTCTTCTAATATGTTTCCCTACCCTTAGTCCACCTGGTAGACAGTCTACAGGTCTACCTGTCTGGTGAAACGGTGCAATCTGTAGCCTATAGACCAATAGGTGGCCATTGCGAGTTATTCACATTAAACGAAAACTCTGCTTACCATAACAATTTAACTGGAATTAAATTGTTATGGTGCAATAATGGCTTACCTCACTCGCTTACCTCAAGGGATTAAACGAATGGTGTAACCCCAAAGACATGAATCCAGAGGCTGTCGTTTTTTTTTTTTTTAAATACAGTTATAATAATATAATTATGACAATTGGCATAGCAAAATATTGCGAAGCAATTAGGGTAAGCGATGTTTTAGCCATTTTTGTATTGCAGTACAATAATAGGAGCATTTTTTGCACCATTTTGGTCCCTCCAGATTGTTTTTCCAGAAACTAAATTTGTCTGAAGAAAACGCAACATTGACAAAACTGAATTAAAAAAAAAAAAAAAAATTATGGCCAAATCAATTTTTACCAACCAAAACTAGATTTTTCGGTTTTCAGATTCATGCTTATTGCACACCAATTTTATTTTTATTTTTGTGCACACTCATTGATTGTTTCATACATTTATATATTAAGTTAAAGCACCTATTTTGCATTTTATTCCTTTTTTGTATTTAAGCCAAGGGTAAGGGTTTAGTCACATCACATAAATCTTGACAAATATACTAAACTAATTATCAAGGAAATTTCTTCAGAATGTGAGATAACTTTCAGGATACAACATCAGATTAGCCTTGGTAAATCTGTATGCATTATTCTATGTTGGAGAAATATTTTTTCAACCCAATATTCCTGTACAAATTTTCAAAGTGTCCAAATTTACTAATATTTCTAAACCCTTGTCTTGTGACAACGAGATCCTGGAGTCCTCTGGCGTATTCCCTTTAATCATTATAATAATATTTTCGAGTTAACTGAGTGTCCCCGTCCACCCATAGCCCGGCCCCTACTGGAGGTGTGGCTAAGGCAGAGATTACAGACATCCTTCTAGCCGTACAATTCATACCAGCAATTTGCACTGTGATAGGCTGAAAGCAGTCAGCTGACACTCTCAGCCAATCACAGCCGTTTACTGCTGCTCATATTAATGCTTCCTAATTAGTCCAAACAGCACAGAGGGGATTGGCTCTCATTTAGCATTAACACATTAAAAACCATATAACACTGAATTGAAGGATAGTACCAGGGGACTCCAGACACTATAACCACTTTAGTGAGATAAAGCAGTTAAAGTGCCTTTCATTGCCTTAAATGCTATAGGGTTTTGGAGCGCAGCGATGAACGATATCACAGAGATGAGACACACAATGCAAACTTGGGTTATGTGAAAAACAAGCTGTGCTTACTGTACCTTTGGAGGAGGTGGTCACACTGTGCTGTACTGACAAAATGGCCGAGGAAGGTAGCTAGTAATACAGGAAGAGATTCCCTGAAACATAATGGAGAAACTGTGAGATTGGTCAAATGGGGAACTAATGTCTAGTGTGGTATCCCTTGCCCCAATAATCAAGGAAACCTCTGAGGAACGAGCGATATGATTAAATCAATTAGTTTACTGTCTGATGATGAGTTAAAATATTGAAAATTAACTTTTTTGTTTGATGTTGTTTATGGTTGAAAATATTTAAAAATGTGTCTGCATTTCTGACAGCATAGCAGGAGAACACAGGTAGGTCTCCAGAACAGTGACATTTCTAAATTATAACTTGAGCAAAAAGAATAAAATACACATTATTGGTTTCTATGACATCAATGCACGGTAATGACATCAATAATGACATCAAACTGCAAGCGATTTTCTACCCATCTCAGTCAAAGGGGGCACCTGGAAGCTAGCTCATAGGACGTAATGTGCCTCCGTCCACATGACAGCCCTGCAAAACAAAACAAGCAAAACTGGAAAGGGTTACTCAACTGCCCAAATAAATAAAAATCACTACTAAGTAGTAATACCCCGAATGAAAACAGGCATGCATTTAATGATGCATTATTTTATTTGCGGTATATCTAAAATGAGCTATAAAAGCTGTAGTTCTTTTGTCTGCAGCTTTTGCAAGTCATCCTCTTCTAACCCCGCCCAGACTTTCTGTGGCTGTCCAATCACAGACTACCCAATGCTGCTTAATGAGAAATCTTTGCAAGGCAGGTGCTCTGGGCAATTGCTGCCTCTTGTGTTTAGTTCTACTGACCTAAACAACTGGGACGTAAGGGGACTGGTTGTCTGATTGACAGACGGGGTTGTAACAAGGCTAATTTATGTAAGTGCTGATTTTTTTTATTGAAATCTGCACTTTTTTGTAAAATGAAAACAAAGAAGACACACCCTTTACAGATAAAGCACTTCAGCAAGCTAAAGTGCTTTAAATGTTTGAAGTGTTCCTTTAAGTGTGGAGCGATTAGTAGAAAAATTGTGGTGGTTTCATAACAATTACTCCAATCTTTTTTCATCACATACGTTGCCAAATGTACCAATATTTGTCCCATATCATATTATAAATAGAACCTTGAAACTCTTCCTCTTCCTTCTGGGTCATTAGACCAAAACAGATTCTTTAGATAGTAAAATCCATCTGAATTTATCTTCTCAAAAAGCTTGTTTTGAATCTGAAATAAAGCAGAAATAATTCATAATGGCATAATGGTTAACTACTTCGCAAAGAATGACTTTCATTAAAAAAAAAAATAATAATAATGATTTGAGGATGCATAACTTGTAAGTAAACGTACAAAAAAAAAGCAACAATTATGTATAGATTGCTGTTCAGTGATAGAAAAAGTTAAAGAAATATGTAAAAGTACACAATTTGAATTATTAATAAAATGTACTAATGTCTATGTTAATCTGTTACAGATATATTGCTAGGTTGACAAGATACAGAGTTCTACACAGTATCCCCATCTTGCAATATTTCAGTCTTTTGTTTGTCACATAACATAGATATGAGAAAATAGATAAATAAAAATGGTCAAATACTATGCTTGTGGGACTTTGCAATGAACCTGACAGCATTTCTGGCAAAACAAATTTCTAAAAATATCACCAAAATTTAAGAAATGTTGTTATGGGGGTGTCATGTCCACATGCAGTCAGTACAGTTACATCAAGCATCTGTACTAAGGCACTTTATCTATAGTGTGTTCAGGTAGCCCATCATTGCCATCTAAAGTCAGATGGGCTGCATTAACTTCAACAGCCAACTTTAGGTTATCGATAGGTTATAGATCTTCCTGGTCTTTGTCACACTACTCAAAAGGTCTCCAGGGCCCTCCAAAAAAGCAATGAGTGCTGGCTAGCCCCTCATCTCTGCCCCCGGTGCACATGAGTTGAAATTTGTTTACACAAACTAAAAATGGCTAGACATAAGCCAGGGGATGACACAAGCAGAACATTGCCCCGTAACCACTACAATGAGTTGAGTTAGCTATGTTATTTTTCTTAGCTATAACTAGTGATTTGGCTAATGTATATGAATAATTGTAAGTATTTTTATTAAGCTCACACGTACAAGCTGTTCCATTGATAAACTGAATGGAATCCTCACTAATGGATAAGTGGTGGAGTATGTATCTATTTACTTACCACCTTTTAGTTCAGGTGAGGATCTCCCAGTCAGACTTTATTATACTACAGTTTGAAAAATTATATATTTTTTATTATGTATCTTTTTTTTTTACGATGTATTCGAATTGTACAAGCTGCACTGGTGGACCACCAACAATAAAATAGTTAAAGGCCCTTAATCTTGATGGTTCTTCTTGTAATGTGTCTCCTTCTACAACAGTTGTTGATGATTTTGTCTCTCGAGCTGTGATGGGGTCTAGTCTGTGGCTTGTGACTATACCTAGTCCCAACAGAGCTCCAAACCCACCCATGAATACTTCACTGCTTTTCTGAGTTGTTCTCTCAATTCATGTCAACGTTCCCGCCTTTAGAAAGCTGTGAACACTATTGTTTTTCCAGTGCGCGACACTTTTGCCACAACTGAAAGAGTGCAGGAGACATGGCTCATCTATAACAGATGCATTGCTCCTGGGTTTTTACAGGGTTCATATTGTATTGATTTTAACAAAATGGCAGACGTGACGAAAACAACCAACCTCTTCGCACTGAGCCTTGAGCAATGATTGAGTGTTGTTAGAGGGAACTTTGTCCTTTTCTTCCTTTCCATCTCTTTCCCAATGTTTTTTATCTAAAAAAATAAAAACATGTCTATTGATTTTCTCAATTAAAAATATCACACATTTATTTACTAAGAAAAAGCTTATTCCAGCTATTAGTCACAAGACTGAGTAGTTTATTTAGCAAGGAGAATATTCACTAAAAGTCAGAATGATGTTTCTGCAGTAATTTAGGTAATGCATTTCAACTTCAACAACATGAACATTGTCTGAAGGTATTTAATAACTAATTTTGTGTTTGGAAATGGGATTATATCCAGTACACCTGATTAATTCTCAAGGAGTCAAGTGATCAGACAAAATTATTAGGGCCTCTTGGGAAAATAATGTATTATATGAAAACAAACAAGAAAAAAATTAAAAAACACTTTGGTCTCCAGGACATGACCAAAAAGTAGTGAGGGTTGGCAACCCCTTTTATCTGCTACATCATATAAAGGGGCTGAAAATAAGTTATGACATAATCTGGGGAGAGTTATACTGTACATATAAAGCCCAATTTTGGTGTGATCAACAACATACCTCCCAAGTCCCTATTTAGGAGTGACAATCCCTATTTACAGCACAAATCCATCTTTCCCTATTTTCTGTCCTAATGTCCATCTTTTCTAGGTGCTTCATATTGTTGGTTTGTCTGAGTGTATAACAGAGCTCCACAGCAATAATACTCCCAGTAATGTGTCTGAGTGTATAACAGAGCTTCACAGCAATAATACTCCCAGCATTGTGTCTGAGTGTATAACAGAGCTCCGCAGCAATAATACTCCCAGTAATGTGTCTGAGTGTATAACAGAGTTCCACAGCAATAATACTCCCAGCATTGTGTCTGAGTGTATAACAGAGCTCCACAGCAATAATACTCCCAGTAATGTGTCTGAGTGTATAACAGAGCTCCGCAGCAATAATACTCCCAGTAATGTGTCTGAGTGTATAACAGAGTTCCACAGCAATAATACTCCCAATAATGTGTCTGAGTGTATAACAGAGCTCCACAGCAATAATACTCCCAATAATGTGTCTGAGTGTATAACAGAGCTCCACAGCAATAATACTCCCAGTAATGTGTCTGACTGTATAACAGAGCTCCGCAGCAATAATACTCCCAGTAATGTGTCTGAGTGTATAACAGAGTTCCACAGCAATAATACTCCCAGCAATGTGTCTTTACATTACAATAAATCTGTTTAGAAATCAGTCTGTGTAAATAAGATACATTGTTCTAAATTACATTTTAGTTCCATAATTTATTAGTAAGTCACCCAACATTACTCAGGACAGCCAACATTTCTAACCCTAGCCACATTTTGGGAGGTAACATTCTAAGGTTGGAGCATGGTTATTGCTCCAACTTTAGAACTTTGCTCCAGAATTGCTATTAAGAAATAACACCCTGATTGTAGCCCATGCTTATAGGGTATACAAATATAGTAGAATAAGAGAATAGTTAAAGGACCACTCTAGGCACCCAGACCACTTCAGCTTAATGAAGTGGTCTGGGTGCCAGGTCCAGCCAGGGTTAACCCATTTTTTCATAAACATAGCAGTTTCTGAGAAACTGCTATGTTTATGAATGGGTTAAGCCTTCCCCTTATTCCTCTAGTGGCTGTCTCATTGACAGCCACTAGAGGCGCTTGCGTGCTTCTCACTGTGATTTTCACAGTGAGAGCACGCAAGCGTCCATAGGAAAGCATTATGAATGCTTTCCTATGTGACTGGCTGAATGCGCGCGCAGCTCTTGACGCGCGTGCGCATTTAGCCGACGGGGAGGAGAAGAGGAGGAGAGCTCCCCGCCCAGCGCTGGAAAAAGGTAAGTTTAACCCCTTTTCCCCTTTCCAGAGCCGGGCTGGAGGGGGTCCCTGAGGGTGGGGTCACCCTCAGGGCACTATAGTGCCAGGAAAACGAGTATGTTTTCCTGGCACTATAGTGGTCCTTTAAGCAAATGTGTCCTTCTTTGATTCTAATCATAACGATAACAGGACGGTCTGCTGTGTGAGATTCCCCAAATACTTTCATAGTAGAGACATTATTGTCCCGTTGTTGCTTTATCCTTTCAGATAGGTATGTAATTTTTGTTCTTGAATGACTCAAGGTGAATCTTCCCTATTAACATATTATAACAATGCCAATAGTCTAAACGGTGAATAGCTCCTGTGCAGACTGAAAAGGTGCTCTATATTTGAGAGCTGACTTTGTGTATGGGAAACTCGCTCCATCCGATGAATCCTGCAGATAGGCGAGATTTGATCTGCTTCCTCATATAGAATCCTTTTACAAGACAATACACCAGGCAAAATTCTCAGCGACTACTTTTTAAAACTTTTTTCATACTTAGTAGGGGCGACGAAGGAAATCTGCTGATTGTTTTAACCGTGTATCACGAGAAGGAATCGGACACCAGTTTGTCTAATCTGTTTAAATCAAGGGTTCACAATGGGTGTACTTTACAATTGGGAAAAAAAACAGTAACAAATATATCTTAATGCAGAAATACACAAGGTGTTCTATCCCATCTTAACCAATTTTTTTTTTGCCAATTTTGTTTGTTTTAAAAATAGCATAGATTTTATTTTAAACATATGAGCCCATATACCTCCCAAGTGTCCCTATTTAGGATGGACATTCCCTATTTTGTTCCCAAATCTCCCTGTGCCTCTTTTTTATCTCAATGTCTCTCCTTTCTAGTAACTCCATTTGGCTGGTGTGTCTGAGAGTATAAGAGAGCTCAACAGCCATAAAACTCACAGTAATGTGTCTTTATACTACAATGAATCTGTTTAGAAATCAGTCTGTGTAAAAAGATACATTGTTCTTGTTGTAAATTCTATTTTAGTTACATACATTGTCATTAGTGAGTCACTTACAATTTCTAAGAACAACCCTGCCCATGGCAACACCCCGATTCACACCCCTAAAATAAAAGTGTCCCTCTTTGTCCTTTGGAGGTATACATTATTTTGCCCAATGGGCAGTATAGTAGAATGTCGTTTCTGATTGCATTGCTTCACTTTTACAATTTTGCACAATATTTGTTCTTTGGGTCAGGTTGCCAATCTCCCTATTTTGACAGTGAGCACATGTTTACTTAAACTACAAATCAAATACATCAGTTTCTCCAAAATAAATATCCAACACGAACCAATACGATAGAATAAAAAAACATTTTTTTGTTTATTCCTAGCTTTCACTTCTGATGGCATTATTGCACTGGGAGATGATATTAATATTGTAATATATAGTTACACAGCAATATAGATTGCATAAATACTTGTTTATCAAGTTTAACTTTTCACACATGTACTTTTGCTGCTATTCCAAATGAAATTAAAATAACACAATTGATTCCAAAATGAGAATTCCAGGTAGTTATAGTTTCTACTGTGAAAAACTCTTTCCTCTACAGTATGTGAAATCTCTTTACTTCAAGTTTTAATGGCTAAAAAGTTATAACGTGCCAATCTGTTCCACTATATATTCCTCGATTCCTACATACTGATTAGAAACGCATGCAAAGTGCTTTTGTGTTCTATGTGAAATTTATATGCCAGAAATAAACTGAATTAACAATCGCCTTCATACACTGTTTGAATGCTATATATAATAGGGCAACATTTGTCATGTGCCAACCTTGGCATCAAGATATTATTAGGGTTATTTAAGTGAGAACTTAAAGTGAATCTCAAATATAAGGCCATAGTAGATTAAATGAAAGCATGATTGATTTAGGGAATTTTGCCAGGTTAGCTATTTTATTGTTAAATTTGAAATTCACGTTGAATTCACATTAAATTCTCACTTTTATTGAATAACCCTATGTGTGTCTGTAAAAATGTGCAATTATGTTTTTTTTAATCCATCCTATAAATATTTTATTTCTTTATTTTACCGTTACATTTTTCACCTCTTACACTTTTATATTTGCAAACATGTAATATCATAAATCTACACATTGATTTACTAAACTGTGAATTGACAAGGGACTTCAAAAGATCTCCAAACCAGCTACGTTTCCACTTTCCAGCTAGTCTCTTTTGTCCTGACATTTGGAATTCGCTTGTTAATTCTGCACAGTTTAGTAAATACGCCACATTGTATGTGTTAAAATAGAACGGACTCAAGTGTCACATTTACCAATATTTGCCCAGTGATCTAGTTCTTCCCAGTTGTCAAGCTGCTCGACTTGGTAGGTCCTCAGAATGTCCTGCAGAAAAGGCTTCTTGTTCTGGTGACTTTGAGCTAAACCTGGAGCCTCCTCCCTTTTGCCATTGGTAGCAATTCCTCGCACTGAGAGGGTCTCAGGGTTCCCCAGCTGGGATGCAGAATGGAGAATATCCGGTAATTTAGTACGGCTCCCCAAAGAAATCTTTCCATGAAAGCCAGCCATGGACAGTCAGTTCAGTAACTAGTCCAAGTTGTGAAAAAAAATTCTTTAAGCTGACAGTAACAAAACAGAAAGTTGCTCAGAGCAACCGTTCTGTCTCTTAAGGAAAGACTTTCGCTGCTGGGGACATTTAGACAATGGGAGCCCCTGGCAACTTAAAGCAAAATTCCTTTGTAATAAATGAATCACAAATGGGAAGGTGCACTAAACAGTGCAACTGATAGGACACCCAAGTAGGCTTATTCTAGGGTGATTTATTTAACCCCTTCATGACAGATCACCTACCAGTACTGTCATAATAATATAGGATTTGCTGAATCCCTAGCCCTGGAGAATTTAAACTTCCATCAGTATACATAAGCTGTAAGAAATACATAAGTATTTAAAGGGACACTATAGTCACCCAGACCACTTCAGCTCAATGAAGTGGTCTGGGTGCCAGGTCTGTCAGGTTTTAACCCTTCAGATGCAAACATAGCAGTTTCAGGGAAACTGCTATGTTTACATTTGGGGTTAAGCCAGCCTCTAGTAGCTGTCTTCTGGACAGCCACTAGAGGCGCATCTGCGACGCTGGAGGCATTTTATGCCTCCATCGCGCAGAGCATCCATAGGAGAGCATTGAGAAATGCTTTCCTATGGACACTTTGAATGCACGCGAGGCACTTGCGCATTCAGATCCTGTGAAGTCGGACAGCTCCGCTGACATCGGCGGGGGAGGAGAGGTCACCAGCGCCGAGGGAGCCTGGTGCTGGAATAAGGTAAGCTGTTGAAGGGGTTTTAACCCCTTCAGCGCCACGGGAGGGGGACCCTGAGGGTACTATAGTGTCTGGAAAACTTCTTTGTTTTCCTGACACTATAGCGATCCTTTAAGGGATCTAAACAGAATATTATAGAAATCATGTTACAATGCCCATACCTGTGGAGTGTTCTTGATCTCCCTAGTTGTGCCTACCACTCATTGGTACAATTTCTGCACCATTTTATATGGTGCTAGCAGTTTAACACAGTACTTTAAGATAAAACAAAGTATAAGGTACATATAAGGGGTACTTGAATGCCATTTTGAGCCCTTCCTGCTCAATACTTGAATCATCCCACAAAATAAATATATACAGAAAAAAAAACGTTTCCATATTATAAAAGAGGTGTTATTATTTAGTCTGCACCCGCTAACAAGTAATTTCTTCCCATACATAAACTTTCAAATGGTTAATTCAATTTTTAAAGGGACACTCTAAGCACCATAACCACTACAATGTGCTATAGTGGTTATGGTGCCAGAAGTCACCGCATGCAATTTAAAAATGTTTTGACACTTTGCTGTGTCAAGTGCCGCTTTCCATCTGAGTTGCAATGATAAAATAGACGTTCATATTTTTGCATTATCCTAGAAAATCATATCAAGTTGTGTGAGAACTTTTTTTTTTGTAATGTGAATCGATTGACAGGTTGGGGAAGAGTAACCATAGTAACCATGACACTCTCGCATTGTGTGAATTTAATGTCAGCACTTATTGTAGTTTCAACTAATTTTGCTTCAGTACAATTTACCACTAGCACATTAATTGTATGTCCGACGAGTGGAAGTTTGAATAAAAACCGGAAACTTCCAGATATATATCTAACTTATTTAGGGCGGACAGTCCATATTTTGGGCCCGAAACCCTCTTTCTCTCTTTTCTAGGAGTTCCATATTGTTGATGTGTCTGAGTGTATAACAGAGCTCCACAGCAATAATATTCACAGTAATGTATCGTTATACTATAAATGTGTTTAGAACTCAGTCTGAGTAAAAAAGATACATTTTTATTGTTCTGAATTACATTTTCATTCCATACAGTATTATCAATAACTCACCTACAATTTCTCAGCAGGACCCCTGGACACCACTACATACACCCCTAAAATAATAGTTATTAAGACCTGCAGTGGTTATGGTACTGCGATCTTCTATTCCTTTCCCAATAGCTGAGCACAAGTGATTATAACTGCAGTTAGGGTGTAGAGGAATAGTGTAGATAAATGCAGCTTCCAAGATGATTCTCCCCAGCAAGTAAAATATTCCCCAAGCATGAGCCTAGAATTCATGAAGGGTACAACAGGAATAATGTTTTATTGATGAAACACTGGCTTTTATGGAAATCCTCCTGCAAGGGAACCTCCCACAGTAAACAAAAAGGAACAACCAATCATCGTACAGATTAACAGTAAAACACACCCTCTCTCTGCCTGGGAGATATTGAGATACGTTAAGGAATAACACTATTATCTCCAGGTAGAGGGCACACAATTTTCCCAAAACTTAGAACACCCCTTTATACAACAGGTACCCCCACAAATTACATATCCCCTGATAGCCCCGATCTGGGAGACCAGCATATTTAATTTTCTTCCAGATCGGTTCAGGGGTTCTCAAAAAGTGTGGAAGTCATAGTTTACCGACCACACGAGGCTCCTGCCCAAAACAGTTCCACAAATTCAGCGTGTGCGGTCAGTCAATTCAGAAAATAGCATAAAAACTAATAAAAGTCCCGAATGGATCCTCCTGGCTCATAGGAGTGATTGTTCCCCTTGTTCGTAAGAAGCAAACTACCAAATGGCGCTCTCCTGGCTGTTCGGCAACAAAAGGAAGCAGGCGTTTGTATGTTTCAGCGGTGGTTCAGGAAGTCGAGTGTCTGATTTAAGTTCCAGACACTCGACGACTAAGTCTCGCTGCCTCCTTTCATGCAAACAAGATGGCCGCCATTTTCTGTTCCACGTGGCATTCGGCTATACGAACGGCAGCCGCCCAGAGAGCGCTTAATAGACGGTTCTCTTTGAAGTTAATGAGCCAGGAGTGTGGTCGGTGTTCGGTAGTTTTAAACTGCCGAACCAATAAATCCAAAATAAACTAAATGTTGCAGAAAGTCACGAACACAGAAGAAAATGACAAAACTAAGTCTATTTTCTTCACAATAGTGTCCCTCTTTGTCCATTTGAAATGTTGGGAAATATGCAAATATATGGTTTAAGGTACTCATTTACTTTTTCTAAACTGATATATCATGTTTATATTTAGGAAGGCTGAACTTGATGGATGCAAGTCTCTTTTCAGCTATGTAACTATGTAACTGTGATGAACATCATAATGTTTTTCGAAAAATTCACAGTAAAATCTCTATATAGCTACTGCTAAGATATATTCTGCCTTGGTTCCAAACTAATGTAAACCTAGACATATTTAGAATTAATGTAATGCAAACAGATACTTTTTATCAGATACTTTTTTATTCTCCGAGAGCATTGCATTGTGGGCCCGGGGCAGCCATTTATGGCACACACAACAAAATCTGCATGAAAGGGTAACTCAGGCGAATGTAGTGTCCTAATTTTCACAAACAGCCTTTGTTTCCTTTGTCCTCCCATAGAAAGCAGTAAGCGACAGAAAGGGGGATCGGGCAGTGCTCAGAGCATTAGGATTTCCTGGGAAACCGTATTCATACAACCCACAGCTTAATGTGTTTTTTGTGGGTGATTTTTTTTTTCAGCGTCAGCCAGAGAGGATTTTGGATAAAGAAAGCAAATAAAGTCCAAAGTCTCAATGCGCACAAGAATGGGAAGAGGGAGAGGTGGAGGCTGTAGTTTGGGGACCTACGGTGAGGCTAATAAACAGGATTAATCCTTAATGAGATTCTAAAATACTGGATACAGAAAAGTATTGTAGTACATTATCCTGGCACGCAACAGGTTAAACTCAGCTTTATCAGCCTGGCTGATATAATCCTCACACTAAAAGCAGTAACAGACACAGAGAAAAGTAGATTAGACGTCAAAATGTATGCTTTCAGAGCCAACGCCACAAAATAACAAAATGATCAGATTCTTGCCATGAGATATAAGGTTATAATGTAATACACAAAGGGGTTTTTCATTCCTTAATAAAAAAGAAACTAAAAGCATAGGAATATGTAAAGCAAATCAGCAATTAGTTGCACTGTGGAAGAACACATTAAGAAGAAACGTCCACTTTAGTATTATCTAAAGAAGGGCCCAGAATACGGATGCCCGGGGACCAATGTAAGCATCAGACTGCTTGAAAACACATTCCATGGATGTTACACACAGGTATTGCAATTAAAGGCTTGCTCCAAGGACCATGACCACTTTAGTGATTTGACATATACTGAGTTTAACCCCTTTCATGCATGTAACTCCTCCTCCAGCACTGTCATTCGGGAGTCATTAGCCAGCCCGGAACAAGAGTTCCCATATTTCTATGCACAGATACTATTTCAGTGGCTGAGAGTGATAAGCTGATATTCTTCCAGAGGATTCAGCATTCGGCTGCTCCAGCAGTAGACAAGACCCAGTGCCTGGTGGGTAAGAGGGTAAACCATTGTCAAACTGGCTGTAGTTATGATGGATGGATAGATGAGTAATCCTTTAATAACATGTAATTGTCTGTACTGTATTTAAATGGACCCTATAGGCACCAAAACAACTTTATCTTAATGAAGCAGTTTTGGTGTATAGAACATGCCCCTGCAGTCTCACTGCTCAATTCTCTGCCATTTAGGAGTTTAATCACTTTGTTTACACAGCCCTAGTCACACCTCCCACATTGTGACAGGCACAGCCTTCCTGTCAAGATTGACCTGATTCTAACACACAAACCTGGATTAAAGATAAAGTATGAATGCGTATTGGTCCTTAGAGTAGCTGGGCTAGCACTTAGAATATAAGTCAGACACTAATAAAAGTCCCGAATGGATCCTCCTGGCTCAAAGGAGCGATTGTTCCCCTTGTTCGTAAGAAGCAAACTACCAAATGGCGCTCTCCTGGCTGTTCAGCAACAAAAGGAAGCAGGCGTTTGTATGTTTCAGCGGTGGTTCAGGAAGTTGAGTGTCCGATTTTAGTTCCAGACACTCGATGACTAAGTCTCGCTACACGGAATAACAGAGGTACACGGAAACGAGAAGCAAGCTAAGGTCAGGATAACAGAACAAGAGTACTCAGTAAAAGCC